GACGATGTATCTCGTGAATTTTTGCGTCTTCAAAAGGGGGAAATTCTTGAGGATCTTCGCGAGCAAATCAGGGAGAGACAGAAACTAGCGGCAGCAAAGGAAAAACAAACCGAAGCATCAACAAATGAAGCATTGGCAGCTTCAAGTGAGCGTGATAGCACCTTCGAAGACGATCCATCCAGCAACGCTGAAGACTCTCAGTACATCGGCGATGAAGACGAAGACGACATAGCTGATTTAGATCCTTTACTTGACACCCTCGCTTAGAGTGTTTCGCATTCTCCAGTCTATCTCATTTCTTGCCGTTCTTTTTTTCAAAAAACACAACACAAAGAAAAAAAAATCTATATGCATAATCTATTTCATTGTTCCTATTGTTTATTTCTGAACTAAATACATGAAGAGCAATAGCAAATTCACTCGGTACTCCTGTTCCTGGAGCCTAGTCGTGCCCAATTGAGATCAATCAAGTCGTTGATAAGCCTTCGATGTTGTACTGCTGATTGGAGCTCAACCGTCCGAATCGCTTGCTCCTGTAAGGTGTAAGGCTGACTTTGAGGTGGGACTAGTTTTGTGCAGCGAGGTAACCGAAATGTGTCGGTTGAATCCCTCTCATGATCCTCTACAATCATGTTGTGTAGAATCACACAAGTTCGCATGATTGACACCATATCTTCAGGGCTCCAGAACCGAGCCGGAATGGTGACAATAGCCCATCGTATTTGAAGAACCCCAAACGCCCTCTCAATATCTTTTCGGAATGCTTCTTGAAGCTTTTGAAAGTGTTTTGATGGCTCATCTTGAGACACACCTTTTGATTTGATCAGGGTTGACCAGGATGGATAAATTCCATCGACGAGATAATACGCATGGTTGTATTTAAGACCGAGGATCTGGAATTCCACGTCCCAACTAGTACCAGCAAGTCGTTCCTCAAATAGAGGTGATCGATCCAATATATTAATGTCGTTAAGAGCCCCGGCCGTTCCAAAAAATACATGCCAGATCCACAGTCGTTGATCGGCAACAGCTTCCAGAACCACCGTCGGTTTCTTTTCTTTGCCCTTGTACTGGCCAGCGAATGCACTGGGACAGTTTTTCCATACCCAGTGCATGCAGTCAAGGCTGCCAATGCAGCCTGGAAAGCCACGGGCATCGTTGATGTCAAGCATTCGTGTCAAATCGTCTGCGGTTGGCTTCCGTAGATACTCCTTGGCGTACAGATTCTCGATTGTGTTGCAAAATATCTTGAGGGTTTGCCGAGCAGTGGCTTCCCCAATCCTACAATATTCATCGGTCGCATCCATTGCACATCCGTAGGCTAATTGTCGAAGAGCGCAGGTGATCTTCTGAAAACTTGACAACCCCATCTTGCCTGTACAATCCTGTTTCACCATTTTCAATAAGTTTTTTTTAGATTAATAGCAAAGAAAAAAGGAAAGGAAACATACAGGCTTTTGAACAAAGTAGGGAGAGGCTTCCACCACATCTGCAGCGATCCTCAGGAACAGTTCTTTCCTGAGTCGAAATCGCCTTTCAAAATCACGGTCATTGTATGTTGAACCACTGTTGAAATAGTCTTGCATGAGTCTCTCGTGTCCTTCGGCATGGTTTCTTTCTTTATTTGGGCGTCGTGGACCTCGCGTCTTGGCATGCGGTTCATCGTTGGTGAGTTCTTCCAAAGAGGTAAATCCATCTTCCTCGTCTTCTTCCTCGTCTTCTTCTTCATCCTCCATTTCCGATCCAAACAGGTCCTCGAGGAGCCGTCGTCGTTTGTTCCCGATGCGGTTGGTCATGGTTTGCTTGTGAGCTATCTAGTTTGAGCTGCTGGTAGCCAATACCAGTGCGGCTGAAACACCCCCGCTAAGTTAACTTGATTTAACTTGGACTTTAGCCGCGGGCTGAGTTAGCCCAACCGATAAGGATGCTCTGAAAGGTTGATGCAGCCGCTTGGATGTGCCCATGTTCACAAGGGTCACGACGAGCTTGGAGTTACAACCCTACTGTCACAACCAACACCCCTGGGCAGTGACTTGGTTCCAAGTTCATGCGGCCATGCCTCGAAGAAACCACCGATACGCCCCGCACCTCCGATCGAGCACCATGCACCCAATCTCCTATTTAAAGTTTGCAATGGCAACGGCCGGCGTGAGATCAAGCAGGGTCCGATGCGAGTGTAAGTCGCTTTATTATCATGGACTCTTCGAGCTACAGTTTAGCTCCATTCCACTCGTTGGCTTGCTTCCTTGTGGAAGGATGATTGGTACGAGCCTTTGCGGACCGAGCCGACTTGACAACCGAGAGCGTTAGTTCCGGAAAGCCAGGACCTGCTTCAACACGTTAATTAACGTCCAAAAACTAACTGGACCCCTTTCAAATCCAGTGTGACCCACAAGCAGGCTCAATTTGCATCCGGCGGGCACTTCTGAAAATGGCGCATGGCTCTGTGAACTCCTTTATTGACAACCGTTGGTGCGGGAACACGGGATGTTTTCTGGAAGGTTCAGCAGGTTCAAGCCATCCGCCGGCGAATTTTTCGTCGAGTCAGACTCAGAGGAAATCCAAGCTTCCACAGCAACGACAGTAGAAACTTTTGAAGAACTCGGAAATCCCCATATGCCAGGCTTATTCCATTTTCCCAGATGGAAGAGAACCCACCATGTTGATGATCAACAAGGAAAATGCATTTGGCCAACAAAGTGTAAATTTTCTGTTGACTGCACATCAAAATAAAATCATCATCCATTGAAAGTAGGGATTCCTTGACTTTTGTATTTGACTTCAAAAAAGAAGCAAAAATGCTCATCATTTTCATCTTTTCTGATTCTTTCTGTCATGTTTCATGGCTAAAGAAATGTAGGTCTAATGTTTTATAATTGGCATTCATAATCATTTAAGATTGTTAGGCACAATATTTTTCCAACTTGTTTCAGTTTTAATTTGTGGGATGCCAACCCTGAGGCACATGTCCATGTTGCTCATGAGGTCAAAAAAAAAAACTGAGGATTAAAGCTGTCCTTTCTATTTTCTTGGTTATCAAGTAGAAATCCTAGGTGTTACAAACACATCAATAAGACTGTTGCTACATAGCCAGTTTGAAAGCATTTCAAGCGATAAATGAAGTTTTAAAAACACTCTGAAAGAATGTTGAGCATCAGTTTTCGTGATGTTTTTTTACACCCAGGAATTTTGTTCAGGGGGAAAATTAATCTGATATTAGCATGTCTTTTCCTCAAGAAATAGTATGTTGTTTAACATCATGGAAACAATAGGTGTGTGCCTCTGGGCAGTTTTCAACTAACAAGCATTGAAAAGTAAGTGGAATCAGAACCTGAATGGTTGGTAGGAAGAATTTCAATAATTTTGAATACTCATCAGAAAATGTCCACCTATATTGATTCAGCTAAATATGAAAGAGAGAGTCAAACAGTCCCACAAAAGAGGCTGTTAATTCAATTTCCAATTCTCCCAGCCCACTACATGGGTTAGTGGGCAGATTTATGGGGTTGGGGTTGGTGGTTAGCCTTTGAGGGTAGGATACAGGTGAAGGTTATCAAAAACAAGCAGGAACTGTTTTTTGTTTCATTTTTTGACCAGCTCACACATCAGATCACATAGCTCAACCATGTCCACCTGGTTGTTTTTGCCATACCAAAGATGATGTGTTGAAAAAACTCTGTAAGGAAACATTTGCATAAATAAAGTGTTAGCATCAATCGTTCAACCCCATCAATACTGTTTTCTTTCAAGCTTTGCATTGATCTGAATCCTTGAAGTTGGGTGTAACCTGAACCCACCAATCCCAAGTATCGGCATTTTTTGTTTTTGTTTTTGTTTTGAAATGACCTGATTGAAGGTCAATTTAATCAAAACTCTGACTTGAACATGGGTACATTGAGCTCCTCAGGATTGACTCTTGTCAATGAGCTTTGGCTCAGACCTCTGAAATTTTACAAATGATTTTATCTTCCAACTTAACATGTCAACCCAATATGTCACTGGAAACATCCACAAACCAAATCATTATCAATCTCGTCTAGTTTGATGTGGGAGTTTCATATTTTTGAACCAACCCAGATTTTAGATCAGGTTGGCTCCAGGCACTGTTTTCCAATCCATTTACATCCTGGGGAACCTTGAACTTGAAGCACTACCCATTGTAGTCTCACGTTTCTGCCATTGAAAAACAATTGAAGGATGTTTCAATATTTCCCCACACTGATACAGACATTTTGAAGCCCCAGGCAGCGAGACTATCACTAAATCAAGAAATGATGAACCTGTAGTCCCAATTCCCTGAGAAAGAAGGGGGGGGGATCCCAAATTGTGAGTTACTCGAAGGGAACAGGCATTAGGCATGCTTTTTGAACTGTCTTTTTTAACTCCCAATTGGAAAAAATATCCCTGCTACAATCCAAAAACCTGCCATGCCTCAAAGTCCTGAAGCCAAACCCCCTCTTTTACAGGCAGTGCTTTGCAGCAAGGAAGGATATGGTTAATTTTCGTTTGATGAGCAAATGAAACATTACATTTATATTGGACATCCCATGATTTGAGAATTATTATGCGGTGTTCAGTCCAAGCATTTCTCAAAAACATATTTTGCCTGAGTTAAGTATTGAAACAGTGCGAAATAGGTGGGGTTCGAGTCAAAGAAATCTCCGGAATTGTAGGGGACTATATAGAGGGCTCGTAGCAAACCTGGGGAGCTTCGCCGGAGATGATCTCCGTGAGCTTTCTCCAGATTGATCAGATCCGACTTCATACCGAGCCTAAAAAAGCCCCAAACAGCTTCTGGGTAGGCAATCTCTGCGCCTTCGGAGGGTCCCCCTGCTGGCAACAGGATTAGTTCGACATTGTGTAAACGTTTTCAGCGTCGATCGTATTCGTAACTGATTGGTTTCTACAACTTGGCTTCATGAATCTTCATCCCCGCCACTGGTGGAGGTCTTCGCCGTGTGATTACTGCTCTATCAGGGTTGCGGGGGTCGAAAAGGAACCTACAAAAACAGCCAGCGAGGGGGTGATTTGACATCGGTTACATAGCTCCTGAGTTCTTCAGATCTGCCAGTGAAATTCTGAAGAACTTCAATCGTGGTGTGATTCCTCAAGTCAAATCTGCGAGATCTTCTGGGAAACTGAAATTGCGGCATAATTTCCCCTGGGGAGAATCGCTCATTAAGCCTCTTTGGCCTTGCCTTCATGTCGGCGTAGGCGCTGAGGGAGTCAAAGAATCTACAGAAAACGGCGAGGGGCTGGTTAGGGCTGTTTGCCCGTTGGTTCGCCCCTGACATAAGCTCGCCAGCAATCAGAAAACTGTAACCAATGGTCATTGGGTACATATTCAAAGTAGATAAAGAAAAAATGACTTATCCTAGACATTTGCGGCTCTGAAATTCTCCTGGCTGGGGATCAACAAGTTTATATAAAAATGAGCTTACTTAAACCTCTTGCAGTTCTAATACTTTTGTGGCTCGAAATCACTACGCCTTCATCGAGCGAATTAACGTACGCGCCTACCAAGGTAGAATGTCCGAATGATTTTGGGATTCGACAAGGACGCCAATCGATAGGCAGCGAGGAAAGAGCGTACAATGAGGGAAGGAGAACCAAAGTTCTACCGTATGCATATCATCAATACTTGGATAATCTGAACGCTTTCATAGCTTCAAGTAGAGATAAGTCTTTAGTACTTCCCAGCTATGTTACTCGAATACTTTCTTCAAAAAACGAAACAGAATTACCAAGGCTTTCCATAGCGGTCGGTGGGGGCGCTTATCGAGGTAAGATAAACTGTCTGCTATATTTTGAATGCCTGATCAACATCGGTCTTTGAGCGTTTTCATTCAGGCGCCATCTTCGCGGCCGGGATCCTGAATACCTTGGATGGAAGAAATGCCAGTTCGGCCGGTACTGGGATCGGAGGTCTACTGCAAACTGCCGATTACATCACTGGGCTTAGTGGAAGCGCCTGGCTTGTGGTCTCATGGGCCGAGTCTGAACTCGCGCCTCTCTATGATCTCGTACTCGGTGGCACGGGTAGCTCAAGCCGGAGAGTAGGTTGGTTCACCCAATACAGTCTTTTTGATGTAAGTAAATGCCTTGCTGTCAAGATAGTATCCTCCTCGCCTCCAACCTTGCTGAAAGTGTGTAACGTATCGACTGCAAGCCTACGGCTAGTATGAAAGGCAAAACTTTCGCAGATCACTTGAAGAAATTCTTCCTGGGAACAAAATATTGGTCAAAAATACTGGACCAAGTAATTCAAAAAGGTCTTGCCGGTTTCCCAATAAGTTTGGTGAGTGATCTTACATTCCAAGAAACAGATTTGCATTTGAGTCTCATGCTTACCAGATAACCATTATATATACTAACCTGGATGGAATTTTTGATAGGTGGACTTGTGGGGACGTGTCCTGAGCTACCATTTTTTATCTGGAATAGAGAAGCAACCGCCTGAGTTCTTTGACGGAAACTTTTCACAAGGTCTTGAGGAGTCATTCTCGGGATTCCTTGAGTTGTGAGCGTGACAAGTTTCCTTCTTATCTATCTTGAGTTAAAACTTATCGTGGTTTGGATATACGGTGTACACCATGGGTGATCTGACAGTCCAAGTTTCAAGAACTATTCCCAGCCATACCCAATCATCACCACTCTCCCGCTCAGTCAGAGCAATCCCGGAGAGTTTCCAAGTCCACCTACGTCGACCCAATATGAGATCTCGCCGCACGAATTCGGTAGTTACGACCCTGTGCTGTCTGCCTTCGTACCTACTAAGCACTTGGGGACCAGAATGTACTCGGGGAAGCCGATGGATCCCAAACGATGTGCTCTGAATTTTGACAATGCGGGATTCCTCATGGGAGTATCCTCTAATCTCTTCCCTGCATACAGAATCCTTTCACGCGCCTTCTTCAATCTCACTGTTCCTCTGAGCAAGTACACCCCCAAGTCAATCAACGCCATCATTCCTAATCCTTTCTTAGGCTTGGGGACCGATGATTTCCTTCAAAAAACTGATGAAGACTTGGAGCTTGTCGATGGTGGCTTTGGTAATGGCGAGTGATTTTTCCAATCTAAACAAATTTGAGGTTTCTTGAAAGCGTGCTTATTCTGTGCTTCTTCTCATAATTTGTAGAAGTCACGCCGTACGCACCATTACTGGTTGGCGCCCGCCGGGTTGAAATTATATTTGCAATTGATGGGGTAAAGTGAAACATTTCTCAGAGATATCGTCATGATCAGCTATCTAGTGTACAAATATACAAGAATGTTGATAGGTTTGATTTGCATTAACTAGACTAGTGACTACGAGAATTACGCAAATGGGAGTTCCGTCGTCCGAACTGCCGCAAGAGTGGCACAACTTTCAAACGCCTATAAATTTCCTCAAGTTCCATTGGACGTTTCAACTTATACCACCGAAGGTCTGGTTCATCGTCCCACGTTTTTTGGTTGCGACGAGCCAGTTGATGTACCGCTAGTCATCTGGATTGCCAATTCGCCTCCAATCGATCTATCCACCGGACTCACCAACACGTCCACCGTACAACTATCAGTTGAGAATGGTTTTTTTTACATTATTTGATCCGGTTGTCATTGATCTCGCAAATTCCCGACATCATTCTGACTGTAAACCAAACCCTTTCGCCAACAGTACCCCCAAAACCAGACTCGCGCGATGATGAACCAGGCCGTCGAAACTTCTCTAAGAGGATTCCCTTCGCAGAGTCTGATCCAGAAGAACATCTACCGAGATCCATTGTGGCCGATTTGCTTATCATGCGCCGTGACTGACAGAGCTCGTGCTAGAATGAAACAGGATCGGACCGGTCTCTGTAAAGACTGCTTCACTCGTTATTGTTGGAAAAGTTCTTGAATTATCACGAGATATAACAAGAAGAATTTCACTTGTTTTTATTCTTACCAGAATTAATGACCATCTCAAGGCAGAAAGCTCTTCCCGAAATAAGTAACAAGATTACTGGGTCAAACCTTTTCGGAAGTATATCGATCTATTGTCTGGGGATCCCCTCATGAAATTGCTATCAAAGTTTTTTTGGGTGCTCTTCAAGATTGGATGAGCTTGATGATGGCTTGAGCTGGCAAGTACACCGTACACGTGTGACTGCGGTTTCATAAGATTTTATGTTGTTTGATCAGTCCATCAACTTGTCCAATCCTAGAATCTCAACCGAACGGAAAGGTCATCCAAGAATTCATGAGCTTGAGCTGAATCTTTCTTGTGGTTTGATACTGAGTTGCCATTGTTACGAATGGAATCAGAAAAAAAAGACATCAGAGCTTCGCATGCTTGTGTGCAGCAAGCAAGGGGAACCCCTATGTGGAGTTGCAACATTTATTTCTTGATTCTAATTTGATTGTTAAATGAAATGTGGAACCATCACATTGAATGGAAACAATAACGTTGGAAGCAATTAGAACAGATGCCCTGACGTTGCTCGTCTGATCTTTCTCTACTTCTCTCAACCACTGCACAGGCCAAACAACCAGGCCAAAGAGGATCGTTGGATATTCCACGACTCGCAAGCTTCGTGCCACCTTCAATGAGTGAAAAAGCCCGAGACTGCGAGACCTATTCAGACGAGGGAAAATCGACGGTTATCAGATTTTATGCAAGCGAAAAGGAATCATTGAGCAGATGACATGTAAGGTACTCACTTCGAGTGAGGCGGTTGGCAAGTTGGTTGCTTCTGTAGAACCGTCCGTAGATGGTGAATTGGGGATGTAAATTACTAGAGGCACTTCAGGTTCATCACATCCAAAGAACGTGGGCCGAGTGATCTTAATCTGAGAAAGAGATTCTGGAATACGAGGGAACGGGTACACATCATTGGATAATAGTTTTGAACGACGTGACGTCGCCTTGAGTGACGTGCCATCGGGCCATCCATTAACATCATCGCTCTTTTTTTCGAAGGGGGTTCAGATAACACGTTAGCCCCTCATGATTTTGGAGAGTGAATTAGATGCACGTACAGCATCGAAGGCCACTATGGCATCGACTTCTCGAGCTGGAACTAGCAAGGGCGCAAATGGGATGTTTTCTGATATGCGAAGGTAAAAAGTTCAATCTGGATATAGTTATTGACGAGGTGCAAAGAGACGGCGAAGAAAAGTGAAGAAATCTTCTACCTACCACCTCCAAATGAGCCATCCATTAACTGCAAAGTTTTGCTGTTTCGGTCAAGATATTCGGATGTACCCAAACCTGAAGTAGTTCGACGAATTTAGACAACAAGAAAAAATAAATGAGAAACAGATTTTCCTCTACGCGCGATAGCTTGAGTGACTAACCATAAAATGGATTTGGGATCAACGAAAGAACTCCCTTGAGTGCTGGTAAAAACGAGCGATAGGCTTTAGGCTGAAAGAGGGTTGCAAACGCATCGTACTTGCGAAAGATGTTGGAAGAAGCCGCCACCAGAAAACCTAAGTTATCAAATTTCTTCACACATCCTTTTGCTCCAGAAGGTCGACCGTTCTCGAGCGGGCTTCCCAGATAGGATGTTTCGATGAAGCTGGCAAGGTTAGGATCCCAAGAGCCAGATTCATACATATTAAACTCGTATTGATTGTTGCTGAGCGGTACCGCATCGCCTCTCTGGATTATTGGACCCTGACCAGGCGACTCCGCAACTGATGTAATGATCGGGAATGGCTGCGAGTAGCTTTTTATTGAATCTCTACAAGAATGCTCAAGATGTTGGCATTCAAGGTTCACTTCGACTTTAAATTCCCAAAGCACCGACTTACCGGCTCGATAGATCAGAAAGCCTTTCTTCGAGCCCGTGTTCAGCTTGAGGGTCAAAGAAATTTTCCCTGGTCGTTCCGTTGACAAAGTGATATGCCAGAATACGGGAGTAGACATCACCCAAACTGACCTCAAAGCCCGCAAGCGCTTTCTGGCTCACTTGAGCGCCCAGGGCTACCCACCATTTGGTGTCTAAGAAAAGGGGGTTTTCTAATATCCTATTCAACCCTGCGGGCTGATCGTGGCCCCAATTTTGTGGGACATGTTTATCAATTGAGAATTAATTTTTCAGCTCGAAGGTGAACACTGAGTCTGAGATTATAAAGAACAAATCTTCTTCATGGAACTTACGGCTACAAAATTCATCTCAGCCAGCCAGCCTTCGGTTGCATCAGTGTCGGAGCCCAGAGTGAGCTCGTAAATGCTTGGAAAGTTGGCTTGTGACAATGACTAAAGTGAGCGGCAAGCAGACACCAGAAATGAGGCTTTTCAGTTTGAAATATGGCTCCACCAGTGACATGGAAGGTGATTCGACAGCGGTAGTTATAGAGTGACATAGAAAAGAAGGCAGAATCCACATACCATCACTAAGCAGGCCCCGCCGCTTAAACCAGTGAGGTAATCCATAACTTGAAGGAGCCCTCCAGTGCCCTTGCTCGCGGAGGTCTGATTTCGGCCATCCAGCGCGTTCAGAATTCCAGCTCCAACAAAGCTTGCGCGTAAACCACCACCAGACATGGCGCCAGAGACTCTTGGAAGATGATCAGATGGGCCAAGAAGAATTCTCTTGACATACTCCGGAAGCCGAGCTCGGTTCCGCCTCATAGATGATTCCACGTTCTTCATATAGTCCTCGTAAGCATCCGCCACAACCGCTTTCCGGCGCTCCCGTATGTATAGCGACTCTTTGGTTCCCAAAGCTTGGTTTCTAGATGTAACGGTACCTGCTGCGCGAATCAGAGAAGTTGATGGGCATTCTGCATTCTGGGGAGCATAGCTGTGATCTTGGCCAAGAATGTAAGTCGACGAGAAGATGCTCAAAAAGTACAGCAATGCTAGCAAGAACGCCATGAGAGGACAAGATTAGCCAAACCCTTTTTCAAATTCAAGAAGATGGTGGACCTGCAGACAAGTAGAAAATTCCGGTATAAGGATAAAAGTTGACTAATGCTGCATGTATTGAGTGACAAAATGCCCTATTGGCAGGTACAAAGTAAATTGAGTTCGAGCCCAGGCGAATGGGAAAAAAATATCTCCTTCAGAAATCTCAGAAGCTCATGTAGAACTTCATGAAGGGTGAAACTGAGTAGAAATACTTGCGCGGAGGTCGCCTGGCTGGGGTGTTTACCTCGATAGAATTGGATAATCATGTGATCGGATTGTAGTTTATCATTTCATGGTTTTGTAAGCCCCCTATAAGCTACATGAAGTGCACAGAGTCAGTTCTAGTGTTAGCCTGGGACGCTGGATGCTGGATAGTCCTATCGATGATGCGTCAATAATTTTGTGAACATCAACTGGGTAGACCAATTCCAGGGCATTAACAGGTATGAACAAAGTTGAAAACTCCTCATCCTTCAGGCCAGAGAAAAAGTTGCATAAATACACTTTACTCCAGTTACATCGCACTTTTCATCTAGCCAAAGGGACACCAAGATACGTTTGGGTGGATGCAGAATTAGGTACGTACCTACCCAGGGATCTCAGGACCTCACCCTTTATGATGCAACAGATTTTACAGAGCTTGTAGATGGTTTTTTGCTAGACTCTCCCCAACCTCATTGCAAAGCAGCATGGAACTATTGCAAAATGAAAATACAGCGATCGTCACTGAGGTGCTGAGCTTGCAACCCCTAGCAAAGGAGCAAGCAATGCTCCACGTGTCTAGCGATGCCATATGAGCTCATCTGAAACTTTCTGAACTCCGCCTGGGATGACTTTCACTATTTCCCAACAGGTAGGTCGGGCAGGTCCACCGTTGCTTGTGGATACCACCTCCCACTTGCCCGCGGCCGCGGCCGCGTGTTGCGAAAACTGGTGTGTTACCTGAAGTCACTTGATATAGGCGACTGCTAGACTCTCTACCAAATCGCTTTTCCTGCTCTACTAGACAGTGACACTGAATATATTATCTGCATCGAGGCGGTTAGTTTTCCAGGGCCAACGCAAGTCAAAAAAATAAGCAGATACGACTTTTCCGAAGTACTCAGCTCAAGAACAGGATGGCTTCTTTTGGCATCTGCACCCAGCGTACACAGATACCGACTTGTAGAAGCCAATCAAATTTACAAGCCAGAGCCTGACTCTGAGGGTGACGCAAGCGGCAAGGACAAATTCAAATGGCACCCTGATGAGGTGAAACTAGAACTTAGAGATTGTTGACTAGCCCTGGAAGATAATTTAGAAGAACAATTTGTAAATATTTATCCATGGGGTTGTGAACATACATAAATAACATGTTTGCATTTTTATTCTTTTAGACAATAAATATAGTCACAACCTTCTGAACTTTTTTTGGCTGTATTGATGGTCTAATTTTCAGTAAAGATAAAGAAAAAACTGAGAGCAGGGGCTTTTCTTAACTTTTTGTTTTGCACCAAAATTTGTGTATTTACTATAAGGGCCTGTACTGTAGGATTGAATTTTGAAAGTGTCATTTTTTTTCTGTCTTCTTGTAAGAGCTGGTAGCTCTTCACTGCCTATGAGGACAAGACCAAAGTCTTGGAGAGAAATTCTAGAGCCAAGGTGTCTTTGATTGCAGGCAACTAGATCAGAGAGTGAAACATCAGAATTCTCTCCAAACAGCTATGGAGGAAAGATAATCAGAGAGAGAGCAGAGAAGAGAAAGAAATCAGAAAACTCACCTAGCTCAGAGAGTGAAACACCAGAATTCTCTACTGAGCTAAGGAAAGACAATTGAGGGGAATATAAAGAGGATTTCAGATTACATAATTTGTGACACTCCACCTTGTGAAACCCACAGTACGTGGTGGGCTTCACACTTCTACACAACAATCAAAAACAAGGGAAAAGATCTAGTGTTGCAATTATTAATTTTTGGGCTTATAAGTGGTCCTTGGTGATGGACAATTTTGATCATATGTGAATTTGAGGAAGATGAATTCTGATAAATCATGGACAATTGGATTTTCATACCATATGGTACAGGCCCTAAGAATGTTTCAAAATGAATTTGGAGTAACAGGATCTGAAAAGAAAAAATACTCTGTGAAATATCAAAAATTGAATTGAAACCATATTCCCTAAAGCGTCCACATTCTCTGGAATGAGTAGGTGGGGCAAGTTATGATAGAGAGGAAAAAATGTGCACACTTCACTGTAAATCCAGCCTATGCCATGACACTTCAAGCATGATTGGCTGGGTAACGGGTTGTAGGCTTTAGTTGTTCAAACCCCCTTTCAAAGAGGGTTTCATTCAGACAATCTCAACTTGGCTGAGTGCAAACCAGTTTAAGTGGAATTCACACAACTCAGCCAATTATACTGCCATAATTGAATTGTTGGGACTAATCCCATTTGAACTGGGTGGTACATGAGCGTTTTTAAAATGGCTGAGTTTAACCCATTGAAAGGGGAAATCAGACATCCCATTCAGTTACTCTGGAATTTGTAACTATATTCATTAGATTTTCTATTGAGATAAAATAAATCCTGTCTACTGGGCTTTGACAGAGCTTGCCAAAATCATTCAGTAATTTGTGGCTGGCCACCCTACTTTCAGAATTTGAAATTCCTAAGCTCAACAGGGTATTTTTGGGAATTTGGGCCACAAAAAAATGTTTTCCAAGCAAGGGAATATTTTCAAGTCCATAATGTGTCCAGTAGCTCCTTGCAGGATTAACTGTGCCTTGGAAGGAAATAGATTGGTTTGGTAATTCCAAATGAATTTTGATTCCTTATCTAGCAGTCTTAATTAATCTTGATACCAATGATCAAGTTTTGGGATCATTTTTGGCCCCTCTTCTTCCAAATAGCCTCATTCTCTTTCTTTACTTCTACCTCTCTGATTATTTTTTGTCTTGTATTGTAGAGATCACTAGCATGTGCACCCTCATCAATTGGATCATCTTGAATGAGAAACAAATATATTGCTTCTTATTTCAACAAAGTATTATTACAAGACAAGCCCATTGTGGTGTATTGGCTTTGAGGAGCACAAATAGTGATACATAACATGTTGCATTCCAAAAGAAACTATTTGTTGATACATATCACCATGAATAATCTTCAAAGTGACAACGTATTAAAGGTGGCATAATCACAACTCCAACAATCTACATACTGGGTTCACTACTTTTCTGTCCCTCTACAAGGGACAAAAGAGGAATTATGATAACTTAGGATTACCACAACAGCTGGAATAGAGCTGCACAAGATGTTTCTGAAAATCAGATGACAGCAATTCATTCTCAATTTTTAATGCATACAGCCTGTATTTCATTATCAACTACTAAAACAACCCACTGTTCCTACAAATGCAACATTAATTCATCCATTAATCAGGTTTCCCACAAAATACCTGCAAGTTTCTGACTGTCACTGAACTTAAATATTATAAATTTATGTCAACTTGTATTTTCTGCTTTAATAAAACTTACTAACACACCTCTTGTCTTTCTCTTGGTGCTAATTATTGTGGTTTGGCTCATTTACTCTGGGGATAAATTCCAAATCCAGACTTCCATCACTAAAAAAAAATCTTATCAAAATGGTGTCCGTTGACATGCGGGTTAATCCCAATGTAAATTCTGTCATACTGTAATCTATTCCAATGTAAGAATTTCTGCACAGTGACTTTGGACTGAAGTATGGCTGAGGTAATGGCTGAGTAACATCTGAGTAAAAAACCAAATTTCAAGACAATTTCTGCATTTCAACTGGCAGCAGTTCCTTTGAATCTTCTCACAGTGCATGGTGTCCAAAATTATTTTTCTACTTATCAAATTGAGATGTGCCCTTATCTGGGACTTAATTTTTGTCTCAAGTATCCTGAAAGCAAGAATAGGATGATACACTATGATATGCTATCTCAGCAATAACTGTTAGCATCAAAGTTTTTTCTTTGACAGAGTTTCTGGTATTTTCTGATTATTTTTGGACAATTGTCATATTTTTCGGGCTTGATACATTGGAATTCACCTAAACTGGGCTTATAAGCAATGTTATGTGTCTCAACTAGGTTGAATTCCAGCATAAATACTATAAAATAACTTACCAATACCCATAGCTGTATTATCCCACAGTAGATGATGTGATTCTATGTGTTTTAAATCCATCCTCTCCATTGATATGATTAATTACTTGCTTGGATTTCACATAAATAGAGTGGAACAGACCAGCTATTACACCAATTATCTCTTCAAAGATCCTGATTTGATAGTATTAAGATTTATCCTTGGATTCATTTGGAAATCCAACTGGTGTATGATGTTCATAATGCCTTAAGAAAAAGATTAGCATTTCACATGAAACTTTAGCTCCAGAAGCTTTTAATCAGTTCCCCTTACTTCTTTAGACATGATCTGTGAGTATGTTATCAAAGGATAACTTCATTTTGTAAATCCATGTACTTCTGCTTCCATTGTTGTTGGAATTTCACCTCTTTTTATTCTCATCCCTAAAAAACTCATCTATCTCACTGTTAAATTAAATAGGAATTGATAAATAATTTACATGATTTTAACTTTGTTTTTGATAGTTTCTGCGTGATATTTTGTTAAGTTGTATAGTGCTGAAATCCTTGTAGTCTTTGAACCCTGGTCTAGTCTTTATCAACCTACACTTATTCCAGTCATCTTTTCAAGCATATTTTAATCTGTCTTATTCATTTTGATATTCATTTTTCTCAACCACATGTTTGACCTCTTGTATGTAGACTATTTAACGTGTAGTCTCCTCTAATTAAAAAACACATTGGCTCTCTCATTCTTTTCCCAACCCTTGAGTCAGTCCAACAAAATTCATTTTTGTTGCCCCCAAAAATTTTCCTCTCAAAAATTCTCCACGTCTTCGGTCAAAATTTCTTCAATTGTTCAACTCAAATCAGGAAGGACTTCGTTGTTTTCATGAATTCTATGGTTGGTGATTTGGTTTTGATTCAAGATTTGGTAGATGGAGCCTTTCTAGTTCAAACTGAATATACAAATCTCTATCTTTTCACAAGTATCCTGAATCAGTACTGAATAAAACAATCTTCATCAGATCAAATATGAATTGGAAACAAGTTACAACTGCTTTTGGCTGATACTGGACAAAAGTCCCCATATTTTCCATGGATTCATCCTCAAGCAAGCTTAATTTCTGGTTGAAGCTCACATGTACAGTGGGTGGACCGTTATTTTTGGCTGCTTGTTTTGGGTTCTACAGCTTCAAAGCACAAAATCGAAGTCACAAGACTTGGTGAATTGGTGCAGAATAGGTCCCAAAGAATGAATATGAAAAAATAAAAACAAAAAAATAAAGTTTCAAAATTTGTGAAAAATAAAAAAGGAAAAATGTTTTTTTCCAAAAGCTTTGTTGTTGATTTTGGTGGAGTGGGAGTGCTGAGAGAAAGAAAGAATGATTATAAATGAAAAAAAATTGGAACCAAAAAAGGTTTGGCCAGGTTGGTTGTACAGATTGGAGCCAAAACAGTAAATTCTAGTGCTTTACTGCAATGTGGGCTGGTGAATGCCCCAATAAACAGTTCTTTGAAGCCATTTGGAAAGCAATTTTTCCAAAATTTTCATTCATAATAATTTTTCTAATATCCCAATCTTCCTTTCTCTCAGCACTCTCAATCCCCCAAAATGAATTTCAAAGCTTTTGAGAAAAACAAATTTTATTTTTTATTTTTCACAAATCTTGAAACTTGGTTTTTTGTTTTTATTGTTTCATATTCATTCTTTGGGACCTATTCTTCACTGCTTCACCAGCTCTTGTGACTTCAAGTTTGTGCTTTGAAGCTCTGGAATCCAAAACAAGCAGCCAAAAATAACGGTCCACCCACTGTACATCACTGATGTCAAACAGGTAAACCCTGATCTTGGCATAACTCAAGATGAATTGACCTTACTCTACCTGTTTAAAATAGAGATTGTTAGTCTGTACCTGCCGCTAGGTATCTAGCACTACTTCGCGGGTACTGCCTGCACCCACCCTGCACCCGCCAGGCAGTGCCAGGTGTCTATTTTTGGGCAAAAAAACAGGCTGGTACTGCCCCCTGGTTGGCTGTTGACCGGAAGGGTTTCCTTCCAGTCAATCTGTCCAGGAGGGCTTCCCCCCAGCCTCAAGGCCCTTTTTTTCTTGAAACCACTTGAGTGCCATGGGCTATCCCATAGGACCCAGGGCTGGGTCATACTCATATGTGATAGCCCAGGGGCCAAACCCATATGTATACAAATTACAATACATATGGGTTCAGCCCCCTGCAGACTTTTTTTGAAAAAAAAATGGCTTGCAGCAAAAATAAGTGAGAAAGATAGGGCAAGTACCACTGGTACCTGCCAAAAGTACCGGCAGTACCCGCTGGGTGGTGCCAGGTGCAGTATTTGGCACCCATTTTCTTCAACAATTGAACAGGTACTGGAGTAAATCTCTAGTTCAAAAAGTGAGAGAGACAGCAGTTTGGGATCATTTGATGTTTTTGCAATTTCAAAAACACACCCATGAATAGATCAAACCACTAACTCAATAATTCTCTTCTGTATGGCAGAGACCCTCCCCTTTTGATGATTAGAAATTCCAACAAAACCAAAAAAATTCTCACATTTTGCCACTGTTGTTTGCATAGAAGAAACATTGATTTTAATTGGGACTCAATACAGAAAGTTGAAGGAAAATAGTCCATTGGGTAATATTATCTGCTAAAATAAAATAAAATGATGAAGAATAGAAGAAATGCTGCCAAGTTAGATGTCATGATTCTGAGCAAAGACATTGGCAGCTTGGATATCATTTTCACTAGCTGTAAAGAACAAAGTGTTCCACGTGATAAACCAAGTTTTGAAATAAATTTGAGCAGAAACTCCATTGATGTCTGGGAATAGAGGAGCAATGTAAAGTGCTGCAAGAGGCACATAAGATTGAAAGTGAGTTGACAGGACTTGGATATCTCGAATGAGGGAGAGAGAAGTGTGTGGATGGAGATCAGCTTCTTCCAGGTGAAACACCAAATCCATCATGGATTCTCCATATTCTTCGGATGATTTGTGTAATGAATACAGTTGCTGAGAAGACATCTCGGTAAAGAGTGGTACCGGTTTTCCTTTCACTGGCTTTCTTGATAATTTGGCAAAAAAGAGCTTGGCCAATTTGATGATTGGAAATATTGATTGAGCGAGCTGGATGGCGGCTTGGCTCATGGGAAGGCCGGATGGTGGATCTAATAGGTCAAAATACTGGCTGTATGCCGCGAAATTCCCTCGTATGGAATCTTCCCAAAGATCTGGGATGATGTATAATTCGGAGCCATTCAGCAGGACCCAGGAAACCCCCTGTAGACCACAGTAACCAAAACGTCAAAATGTATACAACCACTTTGACTGGCCATCAGATGTGATATCTGGATAGTTGCCACATCAGGACATGTACATACTGAAGGTGAATCCATCCCATAAACTTTTTAGTGGTAAATCCTCACCAGTGAGCCTTGAGAAGCAAAAAACTAAAAAAAAAAAAAATCTGAAAAAAAATTCATACATTTTTTTTTGGTAGTTTTTCAGTTATAGAAACTCACTGGTCGAGTTTAGCCACTAAAGAACACATGGACATGATGCACCTTTAGTATGTACATGTCCTGATGTGGCAACTATCCACATATCACATCTTATGTTCAGTCAAAGTAGTTGTGTAGGGTGAATATCCATTCATACATTTTGGTTACTGTGGTCTACAGGGGGTTTCCTGGGTCCTCATTCAGCCATTTGAGGGTTGTATCGAATGCGGCATTGAGAGAATGTTGACTACCCAAGGAACTTGGGAACCTCTTCCTTGCCGGGAGCTTGAGCTCTTCAATAATTATACAGGAGTCGTAGAAAAATCCGGCGATGCGGCATCTTAACTCCCCTCTGATGCAGTTGTCCAGGCCGAATAATCTGTAAGATTTGAAATGTTCGAAGTGCTGATCGTTCGTTTGGCTGGGTTCAGGTACTTTTCCGGGAATGATGTCATCGATGATCCGAATCATTTGATCCAAATCCCGATGAAGATACGGTTGGATTTCTAGAACACGCTGGATTCTGGGTGCCGGGTCTTTGCGCAATTCAGTTAGGTCACCCAGAACTTCTGCGACACTGTTGAAATGTTGCTTGAGTAGCGGTAGTAGGCTCGAGTGGAAATGAGTGTGGATATCCTTCTTCGAACGCAGTCGGTCGATCGAGATATCTGTTGGAGCATCGCGTGTTATAGTACTAGGCCAGTGAAACAGGTGAGCGGATAACAGTTCAAAGCGCTTGATGGCCAAGTCTATGCAGAGGTTTATGGGGGTCAGTTATCAATGCTTTTGCAGGGGTCGGATCGATGCCACGAAGATCAATTTTCGATAGATGATCATGCGTACCTCCTTGGAGCCGCTCAAACTGCTTGAATTCCGTTGTGTCAGGTTCGGGCAAGCTCACGGGTCCACGGTACCATTCCTCGAGGTGCTCTTCTAACATTTTCTTCCGAGTTTCGTGTTGACCAACCTCGGAGGGCCTGAGCTGAATTTCTCCACAGCCCTTGAACTCATCAATGTGCCGCCCGGGGCCTCCGGGGATCAAGGCCCTGCTCACACGTCTCGATGATCCCCAGATCTGCGGAGATGGGATTTCAGGCGCTGTTCCCCGGCCAAAAGTCTGGAAGTGTTCTATTTTTTACTGGGAGTCATACTATAGATGCAACGACCCTGGGCAGCATGGTCCTTCTTGTCTTCGTCAACAACGCGAGACTTCGTCGCCAGGCCAGCAACTCAAACCAGGAATCGCCAAATACCCAAAAGGACACATCAATCGAAAATTTAAGGGATGGTGATGGGGACGGGGAGATGGCGAAAAGTGATGCCTCAACAAGATCGACAGTCTATATCACTTCAGCTTACGGCCATACGAACGAGGATGAAGGTGACCGGTCGTCTTCCGGATCCGAATATGAGGATGAGGTCGAGGAGCAGAGTCAGGAGACCTATTTCGATCCGGGCAGGTTTCAGCAATTAGACGAAGCGATGGGGGAATAGGGCAAGATGGTTGGCCTCTGGAGAGCCAGTCAGTGACGCGGGACCTGAGGGGAGAGGAGGGGGTGGATCTGGGGAGCCATCGGTCCCTCTGATTTTTAGAGAGCTCATCGCACATGGATCAATCCTCAAGTCGGACAACCTCGATGGACCCGACGCCGTTTGTGGGTCAGCCGTTGGCCGGGGCTCCGTGGCCATAAAAGCAGCCTAACCAGTCCATTGAGCATAGTGCTGAAGAGATGGAGAAAAGCTGGACGAGCGCATCGTCCATCTTCCCGCCCTGGGCCTACGAGTCATCCGCCGAAACACCTCAGCTAAACGCCGAGTCCGGCACCAACCAGGCCGGATCCAGGAAACTCAACAAGACCACCAGCGGCAGCGTGACGAGCTTCGAGGTCTATCCGAATGGAATGCAGTTGGTTTATCTAGCCAATTCCAGGTTATAAATTAATCAATTGCCTCTTACAAAAAACATCATGGGCAAAAATAACAAGATTGTCATGATGATCATATGTGATTTGGTTCAATTATTTTGAGAGCGCGTATGGGCACCAACTGAGAATTAGTTCAAGGAGCTAATTTTTTTATAAGCTTTAATGCTCCCTCTCTTTGTCGGGCCTGGTAGAACCCGAACGTAACAGAAATCCAGTACTTGTCCTATTGGCTAAACTCAATTCCCTCGTCTCGCCGGGCCTGGTACTGCCAGGCCATCAATTTCTGTATTTTTTGTGCTTGTTCCAAAAAAAAAAAACGATTACAACGGTTTCATTGACGTTTTTCAATTCTCGTGCATCTTCCATTTTCAAAAGCGCTATGTAACTGGGGTTGCTAAACGGAAGATTAGAAAGGGGACGCCTCTGTTAGAAAGCAGACGCGTCACAAGAGGAATTTTAGCCACGGAAGGGCGCTGGTCAGTTCATGCAATAGTAGCGCATTCTTGGGGTGACGTTCCCCAAAAGCGCATTCACAAGCCATCACCCAACAGTATTATTATCACTGTCGCGGCTCATTTTGCTGAGATTCCTCTTGTGACGGGTATACTTTCCAAGAGAAGTATTCCTTTAAATAAAATAATTCATTAAAACAAACGCATTTGAAAGCTCAAGGACAGCTCAGCTCCACCGAGTAATGATGGCTATATAAATAGGCTGATTTGTGAGGTTGATGCTTCTTCATCACCCATCCTTACGCCCGGTATCAGTTGCACTCTGACCGTTCCTCACGACCGCCATCCACCTGCCCACGAACCTTCATCCAAAAAAAAAAGTTTGATACGCCCCAAGATGGACTCCGATTCCACTTTTACCGACTCACAATCCATTGCTGACCACTCCGGAACCCCCCCTGGTGGCATCCAGCCTGTTCAGGAAGAATCCGTGGTGACTTCGGCTCCCACTACTCCCCAACCCCACGTCAACCCAGAGCGGGATGAAGAACCCACCGCCCCGGAACTTCCCCAGCCTTCCCATGCTGAGCATGCTGAGGAGGGAGATTGGATAGAGATGCCTGAAGAATTTAACGCTGAACTCGCCGCCCTCCTCGGAAGCCTTCAAGGCCCCATTGAGCTTGAAATAGATGAAGACGGTGGCGCCAGATTGCGCGACACAGAGGCCAATCCTACTGCTGCCGAAGACGCCCTAGCACCTGTCCGTCATCTTCAGGCAATTCCAGAACTCCAGGACCCTCAACCTCGAGTTCCTGCTGAGAACGCCTGGCTACAATCCTGGAGACAAATGATGCATGCTGTACCTCCTGAACAGCGGATTGCCATCCAAGATTTGGCCGTTGCGAGTAACGCAGTTTGGCGGGAGCTTGTTAACAACCCCACTCAGGGAACCGCTGATGATGATTTTCAGTCCCAAGGTTTCATGAATAGCGTTGCTGCTCTCCAAGGCGCCATGACCAACTTAACCCAAGAAGCTATTGACACAATTCATCGAGTTTCTGCCGCGTCAACTCAGCTACACAACCCTGATCAACTTGACGCGCTGAGACAAAACGTTTTCCCCCTACTTGATAGCCTACTGAACACAAACCTGATTTCATTTGGCTCGGATGTTCCACAGAACGACTCTACGAAGTGCACAGTCTGCCTAGAAGACTATGCAGCAAGTGATGAAATTGTGGTACTACCATGCCACCCAACGCACCATTTTCACCGGACCTGCATTCACGTGAGCTGATTTGCTTTGATTCTCTCCTTGCACTCTTTTCCTGACTTCAATGTACACCCTCCAGGACTGGCTACAAACTTTGGTTCCTGGACCTCCCACCTGTCCCAACTGCAGGGCCTTAATCTTCCAAAACCAATCCAACCCTCACCCTCAGTAAGTTCCTGGGGACCAGGCCTCACCAAAATTGTAGTTTATGATTAAAATCAAATACCTCATGCATGTAATTAGCTGCACTTCCTGAAATGAAATTTGTATTTCTGCTATTCTAAATCTTTATTTACCTAATTGTGAGCCTGTATTCACAGTACCTTATGAACTATGGAAATATACCCAGGAGACACCATCCTGGATAATGCCCACCTTTCATGTCTGTATTTCCAGTAAGACATAATAGAAATGCTGTGTTGTGTTGAATGCCAAGTCCAACATTGCTTGATTTCACAGGAACCCCAGCATCTTTTGAGAGCCCATCCTTTTGTGAGTGCAACTTGTTGAGATCCTTATCTGCTGTAGCCAGGAAAGCTATTAATTCATGCAGACATGTGGGCCCCAAGCCCCTTCAGATGCTTCAGTCCCTTATTCCCCAGAAGAAGATACAACCATCCTCTGCTTTTTTAGCCCACTTCAGTAGGGTGGCACTGGCAGGTCCTCCATTATATCATGTCTTATCATCTTCTTGCAAGATCTAATCACCATATAGAAACCTATCTAAATGGGTTTTGCTTTACCTGATTTGTGTCTGCTTATCTTCTTGGATGTAGAAAATATTCAGTGCCATTTGAACCAAAGCTTGATCAAATTGTATAGACATAACCAGTCTATCTATTTTAGGCTGTCCCAATTTGATCAAGCCTGATGTCAATAGATTGTTTATCCAATTGTCATGAGTATTCCCACTTGTTCCCTACATAGTGACCATCAACACCTTTATGGAATGATTTGGATATCCAATCCGTCTGACTCTGAGCATATACCCAATGTATGGTAGGTTGAAGCTTGAAGGCTTGAAGTTACACACTCCTTCCCAACAGCTTGATTTACTTATCAATAAAGGAAAATATGTTTATTTTGGAGGAACATGGATCAAAAATTTGGATATGTTGAAAGTTTCTCCTGAGTGAAGTGGTTTTATGACTAAGTAAAATTGGATGATAAATCTTTTATCTGAATCACTATCTTTGTGCTGGAAGATGTTAGATGATTCTGTAAACTTAAAATATGTGCAAATATTTATATTTCCAACAGTTTGAAAATCATAAAAACACTTGGTCTGCCACATGAAAATTGTTAAGGGCCATATATTTCTGTTTCTGTTTCCTGTTCTTTATTTCCTCATCTTCCTTTTGTTTATCTCCCTTGTCACTTTCATCAATCTGTCTGCTTGATAATTTAGATTGTTTTCGTGCTTCAACTGAGCTCTGATCAGAGGAAAACCTTTTTTGGACCTGATCTAAAAAAATTACAATAGGGACTGGGAGAACCAATTCCTGATGAGGATAAATCTCTTAATGAACTTGTATTTCTGGAGGATTAATTCCCTAGTGTTTTAGAATAGAGTGGATCCTGTTGGAATCATCCTGGCCTACATGAAAATGTAGTTTTTTAAACTTAGTTCATATTTGGCGCTTTGAATTTTGAATCAGAGTGGCCAAGATTAGTAGTGATGGTTCAGAGATTAATGACATGGCCCATGAAAATTTGACTTAACTTCTTACCAATTTGTTTTATTTAGAATGTCTTGATGTGTATTCTCCTGAGTCTTGATAGTGATTGTACTCGTTAGTGGCCGAACAACCCTTGGCCCTGCATGTTCGCAGTTTAAGTTTGATCGGTGGATGACATCATCTGACTAAGAATGACACCCCCGATTATCCCCGTTTTATGCTTCGGGTGTGGTATGCTCTGTTGACCACTCTTGATTCACATTCTCTTCTTCCAGACCACAGTCTTCAGCTTCTTCGATCAAAATCACACTACTCAACTCAACCAACCACTTGTTTACACATCCTTAACAGCTCACATGGAAAGATGGATTCGATAGCCACCCCCAGCAAACCGAACCCATCCATTCCGCTTACTCCGGCTGGTCGCCCATCTCAAGCCGACGATAATCAACTGTTCGAAACTCAGGTCTTGATCGATCATATCAACAAAGTCCTCCTTCTCATCCTCAATGCCACCCAATCCCAGATCGACTCATCACCTCTCTTCTCAACCTCCGCTTCGATCGACCGTCTTACTAGATTTGGAACCGATTCAAACTGTCGAGTGATCTATCTATACAAGAATCGTGAACAAAACACAATCAGCAGCACTAACAACAACTCCAACAACACCACCACCACCACCAATCCCAACAACAGCAATGATCAAGAGAACGCGTTCTCCTTCGTTTACTCTCTCAAATTCGAGATGGACTATAACTCAAACGTCCACACCACCCTCGTCTTACTCAAACGGGTACCAACACTCGATTGCTCTCGTCCATTAGATAATCAACTCCACTTCCTCAACCTATTCGGTCCAGCTTCCAATCAAATTGGATTGACTACCGCCAATCAAGATGGTACTACTGAAAATTCAAAAGAGATCATCAAACCCTCAACGATCACCTCCAGTCAGTCAAATCCTTACGAAGAGCTCCACAACCTTGTCCATCTAGCCGTCGCCCCTTTCTTCGATGCATACGTCAACAGCAAGAGCAAGTCCAAAAACATCAACGATACCTCGATCAACACACCCAACAAACAGATCACTGGGCCTGATCTCACCCGCTCAAACCAAACCGGTAACCCAGCCACCAGCAACGCTGTCACCGGTAATAATCCAAGCAACAACAACTCAACCAGTAAAGCTACCGGCAATAAGGATGACAGTAAGATGGGCATCCCGATGACCAAAAAGAAATTCGCAGAATTAGAACTCTCCCTATTACATTTACAACAGAACGTAGAAATCCCTGAGATCACATTGATCATCCATCCGGTCATCTTGAGCTTGATCGACAAAGCCCGCCAATCGCAAAATTCCGATTCCATCAATCAATACAACAGCAACTTAAACCAGCAGATCTTGGAGTTCTTAGACCCTAGCTTACTCCAAGACGATAAATTCTTGAATAAGTTGCAATCGTTAGTCAACACCTGGATCAAAGAGATCCAAAATGTCACCACTTTGAATCGGGACGTTGAATCGGGTACGGCCTCCCAGGAGATTAACTTTTGGCTATCGATGGAAAAAGCGCTTCAAGGTGTAGAAGAACAGCTCAAATCCGAGCCGATCAGTTGAGTATTTTGTTTCCCCCCTTCATTTCCAAATCTTCCGACGCAAACTTGGTCTGACCCTTTTCGGCCTTTAATATTTCTCTGCGTCTGAACCTTGCAGCGTTGACGTTAGAAATTCTCAAAACCGCTAAGAGATATCACACGACCGTATCCTTCTTAGCTGACACAGGACTCAAAGAGGCTAGCGATAATGGTAAGTTATAGTTGTTGTTCGCACCACTGATTCCCCAAGCGATTCAGGTGATTGGAACATCTGAATGACTGACGACTTTCTTTGAAACAGTGCACAAGTACAATCTTTTGATGAAGGATTTTCCGCTCAACGAGTTATTAGCGGCTACTGATCTGGATAAGATCCAAGATTCGTTGGTTCAAATATTCGGACACATCAATAAAAAGCTGAAAATCTCGTATGCGCATCCCTTCTGCTGGTAGAATCAAGTATTAAATAAAAAAAACTAATCTGCTTCGTCATTTGCCTTCCAGACCATATCCGATTCGACGAGCCCTTCCTTTGGCTGAAGCGATCTCCAAGGACTTAACCGAATCGCTGCTCAAGGTGCTGACGAGCCACAGGTTAATGTACATGGAGCACGACTCGTTTTCGAAAATTATGTCTGCTGCAGCTGCAGTTTTCCAAACCTGGGAGGAACAGATCAAAGATTTCACGACGATCGCTCGAGAATTAACTCGCAAACGAAACGAAAAGTTCATTCCGATCAAGATCAACGCCTCACACGTTGAGCTCAAGAAGCGATGCGAATACTTGAAAGGCTTTCGAAAGCAACACGAGCAGTTAAGGATCATGACTGGTCGGGATCAAGGTATCAGCCGCTTGGACCTTGGCCCCAGCGTGGCTGTTGGCGGGCGAGACGCTGGAGGAAGTCATCTTGGAGAACTGACGGATTTGGATATGGAGGAAGAAGTTCGAGCCGCATACGAGAGTGTCAAGAACGTTGATGTTCTTGATGCTTCCCCGGGTATGTCCTCCACCTTCTTTGAAATGTGCTTGCTCTGATCGTCTTTGCTCCGGTCCGGTTCTAAACCCAACAGAGGGCACGCAGATCTGGACGACAGCCGAGGCGGCGTATAACGAGCGGGTTTCTCGTGTCGAAAATCAAATCATCGCGCGATTGAGAGCAAGACTTGGATCGGCTCGAAACGCGACGGAAATGTTTCGGTATGTAATTCCTCTTTCATCTTTCATTCTACGTCATCGCGACGATGGGGGAAATTTTCTGATTGCTTCGTTTTTACATCATTTGCCAGGGTTTTCTCAAAATTCAATTCGCTGTTTGTTCGTCCCAAAATTCGAGGGGCCATCCAAGAATATCAAACTCAAGTAAGTAATCCGCTTGCCCATCTTGGAATCGAAGCCGTCTGACTGTTGAATACATTCTCCATCAATCTATTAGCTCATCGAATCCGTTAAGGAAGACATCAATAGACTTCATGATAAATTTCGTACACAGGTCAGCTCCAAAACACATCTTCTCACAATCTAAGCATTTCCTGCCTCAATCGCTGACATGTGCAATTGGGGTTGCAGTATCGACATTCGGAGGCCTATCCTATGTCTCACCTTCGAGACATACCACCCGTCGCCGGCGCAATCATTTGGGCTCGACAAATTGAGCGGCAGCTATTTACGTACATGAAGCGGGTAGAAGATGTGCTTGGACGGGGTTGGGAGAACTATGCGGAAGGGTCAAGGCTCGCCATGGACAGCAGTAACTTCCTCAAAAAGCTTGATACCAAGCCTATCTTCGATCAATGGGTACAAGATTGGAATAAGCGTAGCGTGAACATCAGCGGCCCGATCTTCGAAATTCAAAGGAACCGGTCGACCGAGATCTATTCATTGATTGTTGCGTTCAACCCGGATGTGATCGTGATTTTCAAAGAAGTTCGCAATATGGCCTGGCTCGGATACAATGTTCCTTATCAAATGAACTCCAGTGCCAAGGATGCCAAGAAAGTTTATCCCAACGCAGTCAGCTTGATGGAATCTATTAGAACTTACACCCAGACCCTAACCAAAGTCCATGACAGCGGGATCTCGGATCTGCTAGCCGATTATCGAAACGAACTCTGCCAACTAATCAGTCGAGGCTTGAATATGAAGTGGGAAAACTTTGTCGGTTCGATCTCTGACTTGAACGCGCCTGGGAGCTCGTTGAGTACGAGGATTAATAGTAGTAATGATCGCGAATCGGGCGTTGGCCGACAATCTAATTACGTCAGAGAGTTGGCCAACAAAGTTAGCATCTTTCAGGAACGCACCGACGATTTATTGTTCATGTATGATGACTTGTTGAAAGTCATTGACGAGTTGAAGACGTGCGAATTCAGCTACAAAGTCTTCGCTCAACTGTTGAGCAAGATCCAGAAAACAGTTAGTTTCCCCTGTGGTTCCTGAATATCTTCACATTCCTTACAAGGTTGTGGGTTACCCTAACGTTAATGTCGGTGGATTTACTATAGATCGACGACTTGAGTGTGGCAGGATACGTCAACTTACAGCAATGGACAAATGAAATCGATCACAAGATCGAAAAGGTGTTTTTGGAACGGCTCGACTGCGTTATGAGGGTTTGGAATTACCAATTTACGGCAAAGGGGAGTGGGACCAAGAACTTGAATAGTGTCGATTGGGCAGAAGCTGTGGGAGCAACCAGCCCGCGCAATGAGAAGACCGTGAAATTCAACCTGACGGCCAAATCAACCAATGCTGATGAAGCTGCGAATGCCAGAGTAAGTTTTTGCCCGCCTGCCTGCTATTACCATACGAGCTAAACCTGATGGGTGCCTTTTGCGGTTCAACAGAAGATGGAAACAGATTTGATCGTGACTCCACTGGTCCATGAAATCAGGATCAAGAATCAAGTCATTTATCTTGACCCGCCCGTCGAATTCGCTCGTGCAAATTGGTACAAACAGCTTCACCAATGGCTAGGTGAGTGCTACATCTTCCTTTTCTGCCGCTTATTTGAATTTCAACCACTAAATTGTATGATATGTAGGTGTCATCTGTAAGCTGCCTCGTCTGCAGAGTCAACGATATGACCTGGGATTAAAACTGCGCGATGAGGACAACGGTGAAAAGACTTACTTATCTTTGGTGAGTTATTCATTTAATTTGTGATGATGGCTTAATTAACGACAGCTCTCTTTGATTCCAGATGGAGAAGTTCAGCCCTGAGACCCTTCAACGTCCATACGCTCTAATCGAGGAGAAATTGGGCGAAATCGCGCGCTATGTGAACAAATGGCTTCAATTTCAATCTCTATGGGACCTGGAAGCTGATTACCTCTATGGAAGATTGGGAGAGTCGCTATCAGCGTGGCAGCAAACGCTCTCCGAGATTCGAAAAACTCGTTCGACGTTTGACAACTCGGAATCCTCGCAAGACTTTGGCGTGTGTGCTATCAACTACGAGCAGGTTCAAGCCAAAGTAAATGCCAAATATGACATGTGGCAGAAGGACGTCCTCGTCCGTTTTGGATCCAAACTAGGTTCAGTGATGCGCGAGACTCATGGTGCGATTACGAAATCTCGACACGATTTAGAGCATTATTCAATCGAAACTTCGTCAACCGCTCAAGCTGTTTCGTTCATCACATTTGTACAAGATCTCAAACGAAAAGTCAAAAAATGGGAACCTGATATCGAAATCTTTGGCAGCGGAGAGAAAACCTTGCACCGTCAACGGTATCAATTCCCTAGTGATTGGTTATACGTCGATCAAATTGAGGGTGAATGGAATGTGTTCAATGAACTCCTCAAGCGCAAGAATTCGGCGATTCAAGACCAATTAGGTTTGTGTACACTTGCCTAATCGCTTTCTCATATCGGTCACATTAATTGACGCTGACAATTGATTGTGTTCTGATCAGCTGGCCTACAAATGAAGATTGTGGCGGAAGATAAAGTTGTTCAAAGCAAGATCGAAGCCTTGCTGGCAGACTGGGATAAAGAAAAACCGATCAGTGGGGAACTGAAGCCGGACGTCGCAATGAATTCAATCAACAATTTCCAAACACGAGTACAACGACTTCAAGATGAATATAAACTTGTCTGTCGAGCCAAGGAGGCCCTTGATCTGGAACACATTTCGAACGACCGCCTCGATCCAGTGGCCGAAGAAATTTCGGATCTTAAGGCGGTTTGGACTGCTCTCTCTGGAATTTGGGCTCAACTAGGCGAACTTCGGGAAACAACATGGTCCTCAGTTACTCCCAGGAAGCTTCGCCAATCTCTCGAAGCTTTACTTGCCAACACCCGAGAGATGCCTAGTAAGATGCGGCAATATCAAGCTTTTGAGTATGTTCAAGAACGAATCAAGTTCAACCAAAAAAGTGTTGCACTTGTTGGTGAGCTCAAGTCCGATGCGCTACGAGAGAGACACTGGAAGTTACTTTACAAGAATCTCAGGCTCTCTGGTCACTACGCGCCTTCTCAAATGACGTTGGGGACAATTTGGGACATGGATCTTAAGAAAAATGAAGGAATCATACGTGAGGTTTTGGCTCAGGCAGCAGGGGAGGTCGCCTTGGAAGAGTACATCAAGCAGGTAAGTGGCAATAAAATAAACATGAATGAGAAAACACTTGATAATTCTTTTCTCTTATTTTTTTTTTGTAGGTCAAAGAGACTTGGGAAGGATATGTCTTGGATTTGGTCAACTACCAAAACAAGACACGCCTTATCCGTGGATGGGACGATCTGTTCAACAAGCGCAGTGAGCATAGCAGTGCCCTGACACAAATGAAACTCTCGCCTTATTACAAGACTTTCGAAGAGGATGCAACGATTTGGACTGATCGCTTGAACCGGATGAGTGAAATATTCGACAAATGGATAGATGTTCAACGCCAATGGGTGTACCTTGAAGGTATTTTTTCCGGCAATGCCGACATCAAACACCTGCTTCCCAATGAAAGTAACCGGTTCAACAACATCAACGCCGAATACCTTGGCCTCATGAAAAGGGTCTTCAAATTGCCATACGTCTTGGATGTGATACAGATACCTGAGGTCCTCAAAACTCTGGACAAACTGGTTGAATCTCTGAGTAAATTACAAAAGGCTTTAGGCGAGTATCTGGAACGTGAACGATCGTCCTTCCCTCGGTTCTACTTTGTGGGAGATGAAGACTTGCTCGAAATCCTTGGCAACAGCAAGGACATCCTTCGAGTAGTTAAACATCTTAAAAAAATGTTTGCCGGGCTTTCTACGTTGACCTTTGATCCGGACGTTACTCAAATCGAGAAGATGTGCTCGCGTGAAGGGGAAGAAGTCCCTTTCTCAGCTCCAATTGTCTTGAAAGACTACCCAAAGATTAACGATTGGCTGACCCGACTCGAGATGCAGATGCAGGCCTCACTCGCAGAGTTGCTCTGCAAAGCTGTTGATGAATTGACTATGTTTTACACTCAAGGTGAAACCCTCGAAAAAGAAAAATTCCTTCAATGGATTGAATCGTATCCAGCCCAATTGGTCGTCTTGGCAATCCAGATCATGTGGACTCAGACGATTGACAATGCACTGCAAAACAAGGTTGCTTTATCAGCCCCACTTCAAACTGTCTTGCGAACGTTGGACTTACTGGCGTTTGTAGTCTTAGGCGAACTCAATCCGGTGATGCGAAGGAAATGTGAACATCTAATAACCGAATTAGTTCATCAGAGAGATGTGATACGTTTGCTTATTAAAGACCAGGTTGACACAATTACCCGGTTTGAATGGCTTTATCACATGCGCTTTTATCTTGATCCATCAGTTTCCAATCCAACCGATCGACTCTCAATTCACATGGCAAATGCAACATTTCCTTACGGATTCGAATACCTTGGAGTTCCAGATCGACTGGTACAAACTCCTCTGACTGATCGATGTTATCTTACTCTCACTCAAGCATTACATGGTCAATTGGGAGGTTCGCCTTTTGGACCAGCTGGGACTGGTAAGTTTGACATGTTCATTTTTATTATTGTTACATTTGAAAATAAAAAAATAAACACATTTTAATGCGGCTTCTTCTTCCAGGTAAAACTGAGTCAGTCAAAGCTCTTGGAGTCCAGTTGGGTCGATTTGTGCTTGTCTTCTGCTGTGATGAGACATTCGACTTCCAAGCTATGGGCCGAATCTTTGTTGGACTCTGTCAAGTTGGCGCCTGGGGTTGTTTTGATGAGGCCAATCGATTGGAGGAAAGAATCCTCAGTGCTGTGTCTCAACAGATCCAAAGCATTCAACAGGGACTCAAGGCTGCCTCAGTGGACCCCAACGCAGAGGTAGAACTAGTTGGAAAAACACTGAAAATCAATCCACATACTGGGTAAGTTTGTTACACAATAATCACAAACTTCAACCACCCTTCCTTAGCAATGATTTTTGTCTGCCTTTGTACTCTAACATGATTTTTTTTCTTTTTTCTTTGCAGAATTTTCATCACCATGAATCCTGGGTATGCTGGTCGATCAAACTTGCCAGATAATTTGAAGAAACTATTCAGAAGTATGGCCATGACTCGACCGGACCGAGAATTGATTGCCCAGGTCATGTTGTTTTCTCAAGGATTCCGTACAGCTGAAACCCTTGCCTCAAAAGTGGTTCCGTTTTTTAGCTTGTGTGATGAGCAGCTGTCCAAGCAGCCCCACTACGATTTTGGATTACGGGCCCTCAAGGCAGTTCTCACAAGTGCAGGTCATTTGAAGCGTGGCCGGTTGCAAATCGAAAGCTCCATGGCTGCTACTAGCAATATCACTGATTCTTCCGACAGTCGTGCTGAACAAGAGATTTTGATTCAAAGTGTCACTGAGACCATTGTTCCAAAATTGGTTGCTGATGATGTGCCTCTGCTCACCAGGTATGCCAATTTTCTCTGTGGAATACTTGTGTTGCCAACTAAATAATCTAATATACATTTGTGATTGTTATTTAAACCTTGTCCTTGACTCATTGCACAGTTTATTGGCCGACGTCTTCCCCGGTATTGAGTACAGTCCAAGTGACCTGGATGGACTGAAGGCGCACATCCGTGCTGTTGCAGCCGAACTTCACCTGGTTGTGGGTGATGTGTGGTTCCAAAAAGTTCTCCAGCTATACCAAATCCAGAACATTCAACACGGTCTGATGATGGTTGGGCCGTCGGCTACCGGAAAGACTCAAGCGTGGAGGGTTCTCTTGGCGGCGCTTCAACGACTCGAAGGCCGTGAGGGTGTCTCCTATGTCATTGATCCCAAAGCAATTTCTAAAGAATCCCTCTACGGTACTCTTGATCCGACTACACGTGAATGGAATGACGGTCTCTTTACTAACATCCTCAGAAGAATCATTGACAACGTGCGTGGTGAAGATGCCAAACGACACTGGATTATTTTTGATGGTGATGTGGATCCGGAGTGGGTTGAGAACTTAAACAGGTAACTGAATTTTCTGAAGTACTCAAGCAGATATCACAGTCATTAATATTAAGTCTTTGTCATCAGTGTTTTAGACGATAACAAGTTACTCACCTTGCCTAACGGAGAGCGACTAAATCTGCCAAGTAATGTCCGAATCATGTTTGAGGTCGAATCTTTGAAACACGCTACTTTGGCCACCGTCAGTCGTTGTGGAATGGTTTGGTTTAGTGAAGACGCCGTCACGCCAGACATGTTCTACGAGAATTATCTCAAGACAACCCATGACGTAGCTTTGGACGCTATCGCGGATGATATATTGATGGATGCTCCGACCCGTAAACAAGATAACTCTGGGGAGGTGCCAGACAACTTAATCACTCAGCGTTCGATCATCGATGTTTTGTCAACATACTTCCAACCTGACGGTCTTGTCACTGGTGCACTCGAATTTGCCGCTGGAGTTGATCACATCATGGAATTCACCGTGGCTCGCGCTGTATCGACTCTCTTTTCTTTGATCAACAAAACCATCAGGAATGTTTTGGATTACAATGCCCGACATAACGATTTTCCCTTGCCAATGGAGAAGGTTCGAGCTTATTCCCAAAAGCGTCTCTTGGTTGGGATCGTTTGGGCATTCACTGGTGATTCCAAACTCGAAACACGTGCCCAGATGGGCGACTTTCTACGCGATCACTCTGGTTTAGATATGCCCCCGTTGGGCGGCCTCGAGGCTTCGCTAATCGACTATGACGTGCAAGTGGCCTCTGGTGACTGGGAGCCGTGGAAGAACTCAGTTCCGGTCGTCGATATCGATACTCATCAAGTGACTTCTTCTGAGGTGGTCATTCCGACTTTAGATACTGTTCGCCATGAAGAAGTACTGTATTCATGGCTCTCCGAACACAAACCTTTGATGCTCTGCGGCCCCCCTGGATCTGGAAAAACTATGACACTGTTCAGTGCACTGCGTAAGCTTCCTGATATGGATGTTGTCGGACTGAACTTCTCGAGCGCTACTACACCTGAACTGGTCCTCAAGACTTTTGACCAGCATTGCGAGTATAAGAAAACGCCAAATGGAGTCGTTTTAGCTCCCGTGCAAATTGGCAAGTGGATTGCAGTCTTCTGCGACGAGATCAACTTGCCAGCTGCCGACAAATACGGTACCCAAAAGGTCATCTCGTTTCTAAGACAGTTAGTTGAAGGAGGCGGATTCTGGAGGCCATCTGATAAAACCTGGATCCGACTCGAACGAATCCAATTTGTTGGTGCTTGTAACCCTCCAACTGATCCTGGTCGAGTGGTCCTCACACAACGGTTTTTGCGACACGCACCCCTCGTGATGGTCGATTATCCTGGTGAAGCATCATTGAAACAGATTTACGGTACCTTCAACCGAGCCGCTTTGAAAGTTGTCCCCAACTTGCGAGGCCACGCTGATCCACTAACTTCAGCTATGGTCGAATTTTATCTGGCTTCTCAAAAGCGTTTCACCTCTGATATTCAAGCTCACTACATTTACAGTCCTCGTGAGTTGACGAGATGGGTTCGAGGGATCTATCAATCTATCAAACCTTTAGAAACGCTCTCCTTGGAAGGACTCGTTCGAGTTTGGGCCCACGAGGCATTACGGTTGTTTTCGGATCGATTGGTCTCGGAGGATGAAAAGCGATGGACAGACGAACAGATTGATGCGATGGCGATTCAGCATTTTCCCAGTCTCAATCAGAGTGAGGCCCTTGCTCGCCCGATTCTCTTCTCCAATTGGACTTCCAAACATTACATTAGTGTCGATCGAGACGAATTACGTGATTACTCGAAGGCAAGACTGCGCGTGTTTTACGAAGAGGAACTCGACGTCCCATTGGTATTATTCAACGATGTACTCGACCATGTTTTGAGAATTGATCGTGTATTTCGCCAAGTCCAAGGTCATCTGTTGTTGATCGGTGTCAGCGGAAGCGGCAAAGTAAGTCTTCTGAACAATTTGTCTTCTTTCGATTAATGCTCAAGTTAAACCGAGATTAATAAATGCTCGATCTTATCTAGACTACGCTATCCCGATTTGTTGCCTGGATGAATGGCTTGAGTGTTTTCCAAATCAAAGTTCACAATAAATATACAGCTGAAGACTTCGACGATGATTTGAGAAATGTTTTGCGTCGGTCTGGTTGCAAAGCCGAAAAAATCTGTTTCATTATGGATGAATCAAACGTACTCGATTCTGGATTTCTCGAACGAATGAACACTCTCTTGGCTAATGCTGAAGTGCCCGGTCTCTTCGAAGGCGATGAACATGCCGCGCTGATGACAGCTTGTAAAGAAGGGGCCCAGCGTGATGGCGTCATGTTGGACTCGCCTGATGAGCTCTACCGATGGTTTACTCAACAAGTGGCCAAAAACCTTCACGTCGTGTTCACCATGAACCCACCGGAAAATGGCCTGGCTTCACGGGCGGCCACCTCCCCTGCTTTGTTCAATCGTTGTGTGCTGGATTGGTTTGGAGATTGGTCCGATCAGGCGTTTTACCAGGTTGGCATGGAATTCACGAGCACTTTGGATCTCGATACGAGTCAATACGCACCACCAGCCAACTTCCCAGTGGTCTATCGCCAGCTATCACTTCCCCCCGTCCATCGAACAGCCATCATCAACGCCTTGGTCGCTGTTCACATGTCGATGTACGAGACTAATCGTCGCTTAGCCCGCCGACAAGCGCGGTTCAATTATGCAACTCCTCGACATTATCTTGATTTTATTAGTAATTATGTTAAATTATTTAATGAGAAAAGAGACGATCTGGAGGAACAACAACGGCATTTGAACATTGGATTAGACAAGCTGCGTGATACGGTGATTCAGGTTGAAGAAATGCGACAGAGCTTGGCCATCAAACGAACTCAACTGGCCGAAAAGGAAAAGGAAGCTGAGTCGAAATTAGCCCAAATGCTGGCCGATCAAAAGGAAGCCGAGTCCAAGAGGCAAGCTTCAATTCAAATTCAGGCTGCCCTCGAACAACAAAATAAAGATATCGCCGAACGTCGATCAGTAGTCATGGCGGACTTGGCAGATGCTGAACCGGCCGTCGAAGAAGCCCAAGCTGCCGTCAGTAACATCAAGAAGCAGCATTTGACTGAAGTCAGATCGATGGCCAATCCCCCTGAGGCTGTCAAGCTAGCCATGGAATCCGTTTGCACCATCTTGGGACATCGAATTGATAGCTGGAAAACTGTTCAAGGAATCATTAGGAAGGACGACTTCATCGCAAGTATCGTGAACTTTGACACTGACCGTAGAATGACTCGCCAGCTCCGCGAGAAGATGAATGCCGACTTTTTGTCCCGACCTTCGTTCAATTTCGATACCGTTAATCGAGCTAGTAAGGCTTGTGGTCCGTTGTGCAAGTGGGTTATAGCCCAAGTCAAATTCTCCGAAATCCTAGATAAAGTAGGACCACTTCGTAACGAAGTAAATTCGTTGGAAGAACAGGCTGCTACTACTCAAGAAAAAGCGGCGACGATTGTTACGATGATTGCGGAGCTTGAGAGCAGTATTGCTAGATATAAACCCGAATACGCTACATTAATTGGTGAAACTGAATCGATCAAACAAGAAATGAATCGGGTCGAGTCAAAAGTAGAACGTAGTATCACTCTTCTAGAAAGTTTAGGATCCGAAAAAACTCGATGGGAGGCAGGTAGTGCTACTTTCGACACTCAAATGAGTACCATCGCCGGGGATGTGCTCTTGTCGGCGGCATTTATGACTTATGGTGGATTCTTCGATCAATCTTATCGTCATTCAATGTGGGAAGGATGGGTCGATCATCTAAATCAAGCCAATCTGAAGTACAAGGCTGAATTGTCCCTGACTGAATATCTATCCACTGCCGACGATAGACTAGACTGGCAATCAAAGTCCCTCCCTGCAGATGACTTGTGCACCGAGAATGCCATCATGCTGCATCGTTTCAACCGTTACCCTCTGATCATCGATCCCTCCGGTCAAGCAACTAATTTCCTCATTAATGAGTACCGTGATCGGAAGATGACCGTGACAAGCTTCTTGGACGAAGCATTCGTCAAAAGTTTGGAGAGCGCTTTACGATTTGGGACCCCGTTATTGATTCAAGACGTGGAGCATTTGGACCCCATCTTAAATGCTGTCTTGAACAAGGAATTGCGACGAGCTGGTGGCCGTGTCTTAATACGACTGGGCAATCAGGACATTGACTTCTCACCTTCATTCACTATGTTCTTGTCAACTCGAGATCCATCTGTCGAATTCTCTCCGGATATCTGCAGTCGAGTGACTTTTGTCAACTTCACGATGACCAGAAGCAGTCTGCAATCACAATCTTTGAACCAAGTTTTGCAAGCTGAACGTCCAGATACTGACAAAAAAAGAACCGATTTGATGAGGTTACAAGGCGAATTCAAGCTTCGATTGAGGCACTTGGAGAAATCACTTTTACAGGCTCTCAGTGAATCAACCGGTAACATACTGGATGATGATAAAGTCATCGTCACTCTGGAGACTCTCAAACGTGAAGCAGCTGATGTGGCAAAGAAGGTAGAAGAGACTGATATTGTCATGCAAGAAGTCGATCAAGTGACGGCTGAATATCTCCCGTTGGCGCAAGCATCCAGCTCGATATTTTTTGTTCTTGAACAGCTCAATGTCCTCAACCATTTCTACCAATTCTCACTTCGATATTTCTTGGACATCTTTGAGTTTGTTTTGTTACGCAATCCAAATCTCTTGCAAGTCCAAGACCCAAAGGAACGGCTTGCGGTACTATTAAACGATATTTTTGTAGTGACTTTCAAACGGACGTCCAGAGCACTCCTCCATCGTGATCATCTAATGCTTGCGATGCTGTTGGCTCAGCTGAAATCTCGAGGTTTGGGTAATGAGATCGACGATGATGAGTACTCGTTTTTGCTCGAGGGTGGTAGCGATCGTACTGGCAGGCATCCCCCGACAAGCTTCCCGTTCCTTCCGGCGGAGCAACAGGTTCACTTGCAAGCGTTCCAACGACTGGCTTGCTTCAAAGATGCGATTGATCACATGTCGACTCAACCTGAAGCTTGGGAGATCTTTGTTAATTCAACCTGCCCTGAAAACGCTGTGCCTAATGTTTGGCCCGAAGCTTCACGTTAGTCGTCATTCATCATCTCTCCTTTTTGCATATTGAATTGATTGCTCATGTTACTGAAATTGTGAACTACAGCTGGCGTCGACTCGATTCGCCGGTTGTTACTATTGAAGTGCTTCCGGCCTGACAGGATGCTTGCAGCGATTGCCATCTATGTCAGCAAAGTTTTCAATACTGACATCTTGGCGGAATCGTCGTACAATTTTGACTCGGTGGTCACAAGCGAAATCAACTCCTCGACGCCCGTCTGCCTATGCTCTGTACCAGGATACGATGCTAGTTACCGAGTGGAAAACCTGGTGGCATCTACCAAAGCACGATGCGCTTCGATTGCAATGGGCTCACAGGAAGGGTACCGATTGGCTGACCAGGCCATTGCAGCTGCCATCCGAACTGGGTCGTGGGTTTTGCTGAAGAACGTGCATTTAGCTGCCAGCTGGCTCAGTCAGTTGGAAAAGCGTCTCCAATCATTGAATCCACCCAAAGGATTCAGGTTGTTCTTGACCATGGAGACCAACTCTGGAATCCCCGTCAACATCCTTCGTCAATCCATGGTGATCATGAATGAGCCACCGCCTGGAATTCGTGCTAACCTGGTCGATTGTTTGAAGAGTATTTCCCCTTCCCGTTTGGCCGCCGGGCCGAATGAGAAGGTTCGACTGTACTTCCTACTTGCATGGTGAGCAAGCTGTCTGTTCTCTTTACCTAATCGCTTTTGATTGACTTGGCTCTTACTTTCATCAATCTGTAGGTTCCATGCTGTGGTTCAGGAGCGATTGCGGTACTGTCCACTTGGATGGTCCAAGATTTACGAGTAAGATTTGAAGATTTGAAATATTCACTGGATCAGTGGCTAAAATTTACATTTTTTTTAATAGATTCAATGACTCCGATTTGGAGGCCGCTATGTCGATGATTGATTCCTGGATGGTCGCCACTGCAAAAGGAAAAGCCAATGTGAGTCGAGCAGACTGAAGCAGAATGATCAGTAGTAAAACTAACATGTCATTTTTCTCCATTCTACAGATTGACCCGGCTCAATTACCATGGGCCGCATTGCGAGTCTTATTGAAACAAGCCGTTTACGGGGGCCGAGTTGATTCAGACTGGGACCAGAAACTACTCGACAGTTTTGTCGATACTCTCTTCAATCCGAGCGCCTTCGAAGTTGGCTATCATCTCGTCAATCCGATTGCCGATAAGGAAGGTCTTATCATTGCTGAAGGTGCGCGACTTGAACATTTTATCTCGTGGGCTCAAGCTTTGCCGGAACGAGAGCCCCCTCATTGGCTCAGTCTGCCACCCAATGCCGAAGCTCTAATCTCGACGACTCAAGGTAAGCGCTACACAATTTTCTCTCCTCCTCAACTTCATCCCGTTTTTTTTGTTAATCCAACCGGCATTTCTTTCTCTCTCTCTCTTTTTATTCTTAGGTTCGGAAATCTTATCACGTTTACTCAAGATGAGACGCACGGACGAGGACGAGTCGGTGGGTGAGGCGCTCAACCAAGCCAAGGCTTCGAGCTCCTCGAGTCAACCGGCATGGATGCGACAGTTAGAGACTACCGCCAAGGAATTCTTAAAGAACTTGAATGAAAACTTGCCGAGTTTGGACGCCAAAGGGAACGATATCAATGATCCCCTATTCAGATTCTTCGAGCGAGAGGTCTCGCTCGGTCAGAAACTTTTGGGGGTAATCCGGAAAGATTTGAATGAATTGATCGGAGTTTGTAATGGTGAAATCAAACAGACTAATCACTTGAGAAGCTTGATTGGTGAAATTACCAAAGGTTTGTTCTTTTCTTGCAGCAAGGATTCTAAATTTGATAACTAGTTCTAACCTGATATACGTCTCTCTCGGCGTAAAGCTTTGATACCTGGTCATTGGAAGCGATATAAAGTCAATCCAACCATGTCGCTTACTCAATGGATATCTAACTTTGTGAATCGGATTCAACAATTGACTCGGATTGTTCAGTCCAACAACTTCACCGAATCAATTTGTTTAGGATTACTCTTTTTCCCGGGTAAGTAATTTAACCCGTTATAACCTTCTTGGCAATGCTGAAATGAATGTCATAATCTTGTTGCCCATATACTGAATGTTTTCATCTCTTTTATCAATCAGACGGATTCTTGACCGCAACCCGGCAATTTGTTTCTCATCAGACTAAGATCTCCTTGGAAGAATTAAAGTTACAGCTTTATTTAGATTACGAGGATTCTTTATCAGTTGAGATTGAAAGCAATGGGTTCCGACTCGAAGGTCAGTCTACTTCTACCAATAGATGGAAATCATGACTTGAAAGCGGCCAGAGCTGAATCGAACTGATTCCATTTTGATGTTGATCGTAATAGGGTTGATTATCCAAGGAGGGTGCTTGAAAGAATCCAGAATAGAATTGAACGAAGGTAGTGATTACACACCGAGTCGGACGATCTTGAAATGGACTAAAGGATCCAAATCGCAAGAAACTCAAGACGGTGCAGACAAAATCAGTCAACAACGATCGGTCGACTTGCCGATCTATCTGGACTCTTCCAGAACCCACCTCCTCTTCTCCGCTTCTCTACCTTCACATGAGGACCCAGGGCTACTCTCTCGTCGTGGGATGTGCATCGTTGCCGCGCCCTGATTCCTTTTTTTTTCTCGCTCTTTTGTTGTTTGTTTACGCACTTCCATAAACGTTTGATAATTAACTTAACACTAGCTTACGATTTTTGTGAATCACTGTTGTTGTATGTGACAGTTTAGATCACATTATCAGTCATCATTTTATCAAAAAAAAAAAAAAAAAAAAACCACGACACGACAATACATAAATGTTTCACATGACAATATACAAAATGTAATTCAATGAAATCTAACAAACCCAAGTTCTGGCCTTATTCTTTCATTGGCGAATTTCTTTCTTCCCCATTCGATCATCTTTCCATAAATAAATAAGAGGGTTTCGGGAGAACCACCTGCGCAACAGTTTGTTCAAACCGTTCCCTCCTCTATCTGAGACGAGGATGGCTCTTGCTTACAAAACTCTTCTCAGTGAAGCTGCCTGCTTTCCATCATCTTTTCACAATGTTACGTCTTGTGTTCAGTTCAACTTCAACCCACATGGTTGACAGATCATCACACAATCCCGATGATGGCTGCTATCAACAATAGCTGTGATGACAATGTGGTGAGACTCACACTATGAGCATACCTCATTCGAAGCCTTGGCGCGTTCCAGGAAACAGGCCCATTGCTGCGAATACATACATAGTACTATGTAGGGTGAAAGCAGCTGTATGAGTTTTTGGATTTACGCGGTGCGTATTCCCTCTGAGGCTTTCGTGGAAGGCAGTGCACAGCATCGCGTAGCCATGTGTGTATGTACTGTCCAAGTACATCTTACTTGATCTGAAGTCAACCCATCATAATCCTCTTGGAATTGGTGTTTTGAAGTGAGTCAGTCAGTCCCTCTTCGCTGATTTCTTGGCCCAGCGGTCTGAATGTGAGCTGATTCGGTTGCTGATACATTAGCTTGCAGACAGACATCCTCTCAACATAGCCGGCGAGTCGGAACAACGGGTGCTGAACACCAATCCGACGAGTTTCAAAGCGGGCTACATATCATAACATCATTCATCTGAGGTCGAGCCTGCCAATCCACTATGGCCGAACCTGTCCCGCCTCCACCCGCGGCACCGCAAGCGGCCGAGGCCACGTCATCCACCCCGAAGGAAAGCCGACTACGGGCCCGATGGAACCGTCTCTCATCATCCCGAGTAGGCTCTGGAGTTCGATTTGCTTATAATTGGAGAAGGTCAGTTTTATCACCGCTTGACTTTTAACGTTGTTGACCGTGATCGATGAAGAACTGACCTCTGCTTCCTAAAAAAATCCGCTCAGGCCCCTACTCTTAGGATTCAGTGCAAGCTTTTTTATCAGTCGATACTATTATGCCAAGTATCAAAAGGCCAAAAGGGATCGAATCGAGCCAGGTCAGGCTCTTCTTCTCACGAAACAGCGATAGCCGATTACATCTCCTCGGTGATGATATCGTAAATAGACTGGTGCTGAGCTGATGGTATGCATTTGTTCACAGGTACCTATCTGGTCTGGAGGCTGTACGATGGGGCTATTGTTGAAGTAAGTACCGGGTTGTTCATAATTCTAGGGTTCTTAGTGGATACTAACTTGGCCATATTCACCATGTAGTACCCCTCAAACCAGACGAACTTGAGCATGATATTGGGCTCAAGTGGAGACGGAACTGAACCGCCTCGTATGTTAGTAGTGATCGACTGACTTCTCCAAAGATTTCTCAAGCGCGACAGCCAACTGATGCACATACACATCGCAGAATGACGTTATATGAGGCTATCCGAACTCTCAAGTTTGCCGAAAACGACGATCGAATCGTCGGTTGACTCATCCATGTCCTTTCACCATTGATTTGTTTATCTCAGCCAGCTGAACCCACCATTCTGCTTAACAGATCGGAATCATTGCGGACATGTCATCCACAAATGCACCGTCAGTCAATCAAGACATTCCTCTAGGTCTAGCCCAAATTGAAGAACTGCAGAATGCTCTACTCGACTTGAAGATCTCCAAACAGAGCAGCTTGGGAGCTGGGAAATTCCGGACAGTCGCTTTCACCGAGACCTTCCGGAGTCAAGGTGAATATACTATGGCTAGCGGCTTCGATGAGGCAAGTCATTTTTTTTTTCTTCTTGAGTTTGTTCAGCAGCAGTCGAGCTAATATCTTCCTTTCATTTCATTAGATTTACTGCCAGCCAACCGGCGAAATACCTCTTGTTGGAATCAACAGTACCGTTACATTCTATTCAAAGCTACTCAATTGGCTAGGGATCAAGGTCCATGCTGAAGCAAGGACAAAATATAAATCGATGGTTTGTCATCAAATTCAATGATATACAATATTATACTGCGAAAAAAAATTAATTTAACTTGTTCTACTCTTGCCCTTTTGACCCACGCTCCTCCTTACTTGTGTAGGTAGCTCCATATACCCAAGAGGAATTCTCGGTACTTCCCATTTCCCTCTGGCAATGTTTTATTGGGCAACATGGGCAAACCATTTAAGACAGATTCTTTTTTAGGAACCCCAAGCAGACAACCATCTGGAGCTTCTGGATGGTCTCAATACCAACATGCTCACGATGATTGCCCTGAACCGATTCGCCTCTGAATTGCCCGAAGAGCCCGATGAATCAGCTTACAACAAACTGGTCGAGCGAGTGAAAGGGTATGCCAAGCGCGGGCCTCTGATGGCCAAAGAGGCCGTAGAACTCGGATTACTCACCGGGACGATGTACAAAGAAGAGCTGCTTTCCAAGATCATCTTAGGTGAGAACCCACTCGTATTAGACGAAACTGACCAAGAGATCCATGGAAAAGAAAGGCAAGTCATTCTCAAGGAAGCTTTGAAGGCTCAAACGAAAGGCTTTCATCACTACCACAAAGTGAGTGATGCTCGATATCTACTTCCCAAATAACTGCTGATTGATGTGTCCTGTGTAGATTATGGATCAGCTATCAGAACGAAACAACGAGGAAGGCATCTTGAACGTTGGTGTAGTTTATGTTCTAGGAACAATCGGTGATATGGGAGAGTTCGTTATCACATTTTTTTTCAAGAAAAAAAGAAGAAAACAAAATCCTCCTGGCTTGATGAATAACAATGTTGACATTACTATTCATCTCTCTGTCAGATTTGGCACGAGTGCTATAGTCAAAGGTTTGCACGAGGCTGCTGACGACGATTCGATTGGCGCAGTTGTCCTTCGGATCGATAGTGGGGGTGGCGGCGTAGTGGAAAGTGACACAATTTGGGGTGCTGTGAAAGCCTTGAAAGCGAAAGGAAAAGTGGTCATCGCGAGTTTTGGAAACGCAGCTGCCAGTGGAGGTTACCTTATCGCAACTCATGCAGACAGCATATTCGCATCCCGTTTGTTGGACATTCTCCAGTATCATCATGATGACCTTGGTCCTCCAAAGATCCGAAAAATACTAAATCTGCTTTCCATCATATTCTTGTTTGTCTTGTAAAAGAATCGACGATAACTGGATCGATTGGAGTAGCTTCTCTTCGACCGACCGTCACCACTTCTTTCTTGGATAGACTCAAGCTGACGACGCAGTCTTTTTTCACTGGCTCGAACGCACTCTCCCTCTATCATGAGCTGGAAGGCGAACAGATGGAACGACATAAAGCGCACATTGACTCGGCGTATCACGATTTCAAAGAACGAGTGTGTGAGGGCCGGAACATATCCCCTGAGCTAATTGAGGTCCTTGCGGGAGGACGGGTGTACACGGGGCAAAGCATGTGGGAATTGAATGAAAAGTTGAATGTGACATCCACGACACTTGATGAAGCTCAAGCACCTCAAGAAAGCAAGGATGAAAAACCATCGGCGGAGGAAGCTGTCACGGCCACTCTTGAAGAAACCCCCAAACCTGATCAATCTAACACGACTCCGATATCGACAGAACTCTCTGCTAACGCTTCCGCTAACTCATCGCCCACGAAGATTGATGAAGAGGTGCAAGCACTTCTTGCGCCTCAAGGCTCACAAACTGAGATTACGGTCAATTCCTCGTCGGACGGCCCGCTTGGTCGTGGGATCATTGATGGCATTGGTGGAATTAGGGAGGCTGCTATCGAAGGTGCCGAGGCATATCTCAACAGATTAATCAAACAAACAAGAGAAGAACATCCAGAGAAGAGTCAGGAAGAGATCATGGAAGAGGTATTACCCGGAGTCCCTTATGTCCCACACGATGATGGCGCGGCCACGTTGAGCTTCGATATCCGATTGAAGAAGTGTGAGTTGACGTTTGCGCCTGTATTAAGACTTGTCGTGATTTTCATTTCTCAAAGCAAGGCTTCACTCATCATTTCTTTGTATTGTTTGTTGATTGGGATCTATCACATCCTATGTGACAATCTGAACACATGACGTGAACATGCCTCTCTCGATCGATCTAGTCCCAGTTCATAAGACATTTTGGCAACAATTGACAGAGGCTTCAAAGCGAGACGGGATCGACAGTCCGGTTGGCTCGGTTTTCTCGTTCGTCAAGCAATCGTTTGGCAATTGGGTGGCTTCGACGGTGATCAACCAAATCGAGACAGAACTGAGCAACTCCTTTCAAATCAAACCCTCCCAGCTCAACGAACTCAAGCATCTGACTCGCCTGCTTCGGCGCCAAAATAATGGTAGTTCTATCGATGCCTCCATGTACCCTTCGAGCTTCCAGTAGTACTCCTAATGTGATAGATCCCTCTCCGTTTTCTTTTTTCTTTCTCTCTCTCTCTTCCCATCTTGTCGAAAAAGATATCATTGGTTGAACTTGCTTGGGTAAAAGTTGTATCTTACCCTCGGCAGTGAATCTAGACCACAGAGGAACGTCGGGAACACTCATCCGCATCTTGATTTACGGTGTTTTTCTTTTCTTTTCAGTTTTTTGTTTGTTTGTTTTCTTCAAGTCTTGAATCGGTCGTTCATATCTGTCGTTTTTTTTTTCAATCAAAATGAATATAATAAAACAAGATAAGATAAGATAAAAACAACACATCATACAAGAAAAAAAACCAATCAAGTAAAAGGTGAATTCTAATGCCCATTCTCGGGCCTTAGTTCATACAAACCACTTCCATTTGTTTCATGGCCATATCTTGGGAGATTATGGACATGTTGTCTTTAATCATGATTTTTATTTAGTTCTTGAGAAGTATAGTCGGCTGAGTGGTTTCATTTTTTTTATGTTTTTGAAGTTAAATATACCCATTTCTAAAAAGAAAAGAAAAAAGACAGGACACAGCAAACGTAAATGGATGTGTGTCTGGGAATGGCAAGTCCACACTCTTTGTTTGGATCACCACAAAAATAGGAGGGATTGATGTGAATAAAGTCATGGCTTGAAAATTCGTAGCTCCGACTCCCGAGTTGATTGAGCCAAGCTCATTCTTTCGTCTTAAATGGTACAGTAAATTGTAACCAATGCTATTAACAGCTAAAAGTGCATTAACATAAACACTGGTTGATGAGAAATGGACTTGAGTATTCTTTGAGATGGAAAGGAATTCAAAACAACTCTTAGTTGCTTGACCAAATGTTCATCCGGAAATGTTATTCTAATATGAATGTTTTTCTAAAAAACACTTTTCCTCCAAATAAATATCCCGGTCGAGTCGCACCGGGGAGTTCATCAAACATCGTCTCTCTCTCTCTCTCTCTCTCTCCCTCTCGAGCTTCATCTACAACTCAGGATACAACCTTCCTCTTTATCCACCTATTTAACCGAGACATGCTTCAGAGACCCCAATGTACTCCTGACCAATGCTGGTGCCAATTTCTGCAGTAGCCTGACATGTTTAAATGACTTTTTGTGACAACAGATTCTCCAGGCTTTAGTGGTTAAGTGTTATGTGTAGGTTTTGTCGCATGCTTATGTTCGAAATGAGGGAGAATGAGCACGCGGGAAAAGAACATAAACTAACTCAAACACCGTCTGTGCCTCGTTTTTTAGGGGGGAAAAACAAATCTGACGCTAACAAAAATCAGACCGATAAGAAAATGGAAAGAAAAAAAATGCGGGCAACAAGCGGATTGCGTGGTAATAAGGAAATGCGACTCGAATCGTGAGGCTTGGTAAATTTTGAAAATGATTATCGTTCCGCACGAAGACTGAGCATCTGCAAAACAAGCAAAAAATCTGATTAAGAACGGATTTGACTAGCTCAGAAGAGTGATCTGAGTACGGGAACACACCAGTTCCTTGTGCTTCTTTTGGACACCCAACCATTCGAGATGATCCGGCCTACTTTCGCCCCATTTACCGCGACCTTTCCAATCATCCTCGACGCGCAAGTTTTTGGGCCAGATCTGAGAAGTTGCAGCCGGATGAGATTGGACTGATCTACTAGAGGTGGATAATTGATGTTGCGCAGAATCCAGAATGCCGCGAATAATCTTGGTACAAATTTTCGTCTTGGCGAGTTTCTTCGGAGGTATTGATGAGGAGGAGGATGTGGATGATGAGGGGGGTAATCTGATCTGGTCGACTGGAATAAGTTTTGATGGGATCGGCTGCTTGGTTTGGAAGACCGTGGGTATCATGTGAGTTGGTCGATGGATTGTCGGGCCGAAGATGGGATGTGAGACCGGTCGGTGAGCCTGCAAAGGGACGTGAATCCTCATGATGTGCGTATCAAATTCCTTGGTGATGAGTTCTTCGACCGTGCTTGCTTGCCTCACTCAGTCCGACTCGAGTTTTGGGAATGCTTTTACTTGCAACCGGCTGGAGGATATCGATCGGGTGGTGGGAAGTGGTGGATGATGAAGGAATTGAGAAATCGGTGTCTCGCTGTCCAGGTCCCTACTGTGACATGTGTGCAATCCGCTCCGGGAGAAAACCTGTGAAATGTAGTCGACATTCACACCCACACAACTCTGGCACATGATGAAAATTCATGACGAAGATGGAGCAAACCAACACTCACATTCTGTATCATCCAGTATCAAACTTCCCATTCACCAGGAGCCCATCCACCCAGGGTTTCCAGAGTTATAAAGTTAGTTCCAGCTAAAGATGAAAAACTCCCAGGTTTCAGCTAGATTGATTCCAGATTACCAGCACATCCTAGCAGGTATGTAGTGCTATTCTTGGGCTCAATTCTTTGACTCCCAATGAATAAAGTTTGGCTGGCCAGATCCAAGCCATTGATATTCAAAAGAGTCATGTATAGGTATATATAGCAATTGGGATGCTCAAGTCACAGGCCAAGGAAATGCACAAATTTTATGGTTGGTTCAACCTCAGACCACACCAAAAATCCCCAACATGTCACCTACCCCAATCCTGTCTTTAAATACATGTGTTGCATATTTACAGGGCCCATCCTGCCAAAAAGGAGCATGGCAAAGGTCAGATGTTATATTGTATCAACAATAATAAGACACAATCAAGGCAATGTGCTGTGTTGTATCATTAATTGAAATTTGGCACGATCTTCATCACTGTTTTGGGCCAGGGTGAAAAAAATCATGGGGAAGAAAAAAAAAATCAAGTCAAAAAACCAAAAGCTTTGATGCAAAATTTCTTATTGTTTGCTTCTTTGATGCCATGTCTTGTGATTTTTAATGCTCTTGGCAGGATTAGGGGGTTACAGTTGCAGCTGGACTGCCTACATCGTATTGGGATTCAGCATTCAAAATAACCTGCACATTGTCTTTGGGGCTGGACCTGGTCATGTGGCAGTTTCAAGTAGATGGGTAGCCAGTAGTTTGCTGCTCTGCAGTGGAAATTGGTGATAGTAAATCATAAGCCATACAGAAAACCCCCACCAGTACCCGGGACATTGGGTGCAATGAGCCCATGGGGAAGCTCACCAGGAAGGCTTGGGTGAAGTATAAGCAGCCCAAACCCAAGCAGGTCTGGGTGGTTCCATCCCCATCTGCTATGGTTGTGTTGGTGGTGAGATTGATCAATAATCATGGTGTTGCAGGGGAATCTGAGGTTTAATCTTCTGATGATTTAAGGGTCTATGCACTGCACCAGGATGACTAACTACTGCATCAGGATGACTAACTACTGCATCAGGATGACTGGCGAGGACTGGCGGATTCTGATCTTACATTGCTTCCTCAGCCTGATATTTTCCTTTTTGGGCTAAAGACGTGCCTGCCTGGATGATCCCAACTAAAGTTCGCATACCCTGCTCATACTGTTGATAGCTGTTAGCAGGTGTATCTCCGCTCCCAGCGGTTCATGTTGGTAATCAAATGAAATCTGTACAAAATGATGATACCAACATATCATTGTACCTGACAGTGGGAAGTGTTGATGCTATCGCTTTTGTACCCTTGATTAATGAGCAAGTCTGATGATAACGGTACATTACTTTGGATTCTTAGATAATGGAGAGGTTTCGAGAGGTTCTAAGCATGAGGAAGGAGATAGATTGGAGAGAGCTATGACCAAAGGCCCGAAAGGGTAAGTTTGGGTTGTTTGGCTTTTTAGGGAATGGTGATTAGCAAGTCCGAAATTGAGTGGACTCTGAAGACATAAAGCAGTGGGTGAAGAAACAAATTGGGAGATACAGTCACATGTAATGGAAGGACCAAGGTCTGAAGTGAGGCCTCATTTTTTGGCCAAGTTTAGATTAATTGAATGCAGAATTTATACGAAGTATAGGGATGTTCCAATGGATCGTATTCCCCCCATCGTTTTGCTCTTCTTCGGCAACACCGCTTCCAGTCAAACGATCCGAGGGGAATACCCGTTCTTGGTGGGCGGGGTGCTGTTTCCATCTTTTTTTGGGTTTTAAATGCTTGGTGTGATTAAATATAAACTGTTAATTGGTGATTGGTGATGCGGGAACGTGCATTAAATGTGGAAACCATATTGGGCCATGCAAGCACGATGAGCAGCAATCAACTCGGCACATTTTATTGTTGATTCCTCTGGATAAAGGGAAAAGCAGGAAAGGGTCAGGGTCAGTAAATTGCATGATAACATCGCGCTAGGTTGTGAACATGTGGGTCGGTGTATGGAGCAGTCACAAGTAACGCAAATGGTGTGCTTACTTGATTCATCGGGGGGTCCAAAACGAAGAAAGCAGTCATCTCGAACTCGCTTTGTTTCAGGACAGGCGCAACAACTAAGGAATCACCGAATGCGAAGAACAAAAATCGATGAGAAAAAACAAAAAACAAAAAAGAGGCAAGGAGAGGGTGAAAAGGGAGGGAGCATACGCACGGTTTGATTTTCTCTGGTTTCGTAGTCTGTACTTTTTGGGCTTGAGCGGCTTCCATTGGTTTCTGGATGGCTTGAAAAGTTTTGTGATGGATGGTAGACGCAAAGAAAGTGGGCGTGTAGGTTGAGATGGAAAAGTTGAAGAAGGTTGAAGTGGTGTGCTGGCCTTTGCCATACCCAGTTGTTCCCGACGAAGAATAGCGGTTCGGGGGGCTTAGCCCGGTCTACCAACCGAAAGGTTAAGCCCCCCTAATCGACGCGCGCCCTATTTCGATTGCATTGCACCCCAACTTGACCAAGTCTGCAGGGGGGACGCTGTCCCTGCCGGAGTTTAGGGACCTGGTTTGTTAGAATTTCACCGGAAGCATGGATCCCGGTTCTTAGATCTTCAAAAATTTGAGCAAGAAAGGTCAGATAGTGATGGAAATAAGATTGAAGACCTCACATCTATGTAAGATCTTTCACAATAAATATCCCCCCATCCCCATGAAGAAAGGAGTAAGAATTCAACCAAATTATATCAGAATGATTGGTAATAATGATTGAATTCACATTTTGAACGAATGCATCTTTGAGATATGAAAAATGTCTTGAAAGAAAAATCAGAGACAATTTCTCCAGTTAGTCACAGGTGTATCTAACAGAAATCACCCTTGGAAGTTGGGTCATTGAATCGGATTTTATCTGGATTGGTGGTGTGTGACTTGGGTATCACATCCCTCAGAAAAAGGAGTGAAACCAAACCTTACAAATAGGAAAATAGCTCCTTGTGGATTTCCAAAGCCAGCTATGTTCATCAACAAGTCTGGAGTGAGCAAAGAATCAAATTTGTAAATTGTTTCTAGTCCAAGATGCAAGTACTCCATTGAAAATTGTTAGAGGTCTCAAATAATGGGGAAAGTTTGTTAACCACTCTGGAGGTACAACCCAACTGAAATCATTGGAATTTGTCTCCTTACTCAATTTCTACTGAATCCTTATTTCCTCTTATTAAAGTGGCGCGGGGCCGGGTATCCGCCGGGTTCGGCTGCGGGAGGCGTGAAACCCGGATCCGAGGCAACAACAGGTCGGAACCCTAGTTGACCCGTGGTGACCCGACCCACCTGGGTCTCCAAGTGGCGGTGGGTTTGGGTAGGCCTATTGCCTAAAAATCAATTTTTGACCCAACCCTGAAAGACCTGGCTCTTCGTTGGGCTTGGGTTTGGGAAGGGTACACAGCCGGACGAGTTGGACGCCAGGTGGCAGGGTCCATGACGCATCGGTGGTACAGCCAGGGCGTACTCAAGAACCACCGCTAATGGTTGATCCAAAATCATTTTAATCCTTGCCTGGTGGATTGACCATCGCGCCGATAATGCGACTGATCCGAATTTGATCAATTTCAAGGCCGACCTGCGCATTCGGAATGTACACGAAGATACATAGAAAAATCTCGCGGTTGGGTGAAGATGGTCCACGGCTCACGCTTCGCGCTTTGCTAGCATGCAGAACTCCAAGGAAGTTCGACTAGACACATAGACGAATTTGATTCTTTTTGTCTGTTTTTTTTTTTGGAAATAGTCTATTTTTTCACATATTGGATACAATGATATGTCTACAACAAATTGAATTGTCACTCAAGTAACAAAAAAGTCTACTTCTACCAGATTGAATGCTTGAAAAAATCTGACAACTTTTTGAAATGTGGAAAGAGCTGAAGGAAGGAGAACAATCAAAAAAAGAAGCTTTCCAAGGCATAAAGTTGCTCGATTGATTTGTTTTACGATGGTAGACCGTTGGCCATGGCCAAATGAAATCTTCAGAGGGGAGGCGAAAAGATTTTTATAGTTTTCAGCAGTTCCCAGATCCTGCTTTGGGTGATTCGGGGGTGGCTAGTTCTATGTTTTTTGTAACAAATTGCTTCCCAGATAAACACGTGACTCTGATATCACCTGTTGTACCCAGGCCTTTGCCATTTTTTGGTTGATCTAAATGGTCATTGCAGTATTTTTTTTGCATTCACATGAGTTCAAAATGATGAATTGGCATTTTATTCAAGACCTGAAGCTGGCCGACTTGCCGCCTCAACAAAAAAAATAAGGATGTAGGAGGAATTAGATAAGGAGATAACTTACAATAATTTGAGTTCGATTGTACCTCTAAAGGGGTCCACGAACTTCCCCCATCAGTCGAAACCTCTAAAGATTTCAATGGAGTATTTGCACCTTGGACTTGAATCGAATTCCAATCTTTGCTCACTCCAGTCTTGTTCATGAACATAACTGGCTTTGAGAAACCACAAGGAACGATTTTCCTGTTCGATTTTTAAATTATTGATAATTTCCCAGAAGAAAGCAAAATGGAAACGCAATCAGACTTTCGTTTCCGGGACTCGGTTTGGTAATGTATGGGGAAAGTGAAGCACAGATCAAATCTTCACAGACAGAATGAAGGTAACTAGAGTGCGTGTTCTCGGCTTCAAAAAAAAATGCAACTCTTACCATTTGATTTGAATTATGCCAGGCGGTTTATTACCACTGACTTGATTCCATAAATTTGAGTCCAAGTCGAGGCCATTTGGCTCACACTTAGATGATCGATTTTTTTTGTATTTCAGAAACAAGAAAAGAAGAGAAAGAAGAGTTAATGAAAGTCAGTTTCTTTCAGATGGATGAACCGGCTTCTATCTCTTTCTCATGTGGATTTGAAGACAATAGAACTATCGTGAAGAGCCATGAGAGGCAAAAATGAAAATTAAACTTACCGAAGGGCATTGGTCGTTAACAATACCCATGAATTTGCCGCCAGGTCCTTCAACTTCAATACAAGCACCGCATGCTTTAGCTGAATTCCACTGATTTGTCGCGATAGCCAGTGGGCCGTAGCCTTTAGGTACAGGCCATTTAGTGAATGCACAGCTGGGAAATGAATTGAGTACGGGTTTGTTTCGGTTGTGTGAGTCTTTATCCGGTTGAAGACTTCAGGTCTGCTAATTCATTCTTGGTCACTTACTTTCCACCTCCCCCCGCGGTAGGCTGAAAAGATTGAGGTAATGTCAATAAAAAATCGCGGGACGTTAATTTAAATCTGCATTCTATCACATGAAGTGATTTCAATGATATCAGATAATTACTTACGTTGCGTGTACCTTTTCCAGAATAAGTTTCCGTCAGTGCTGGGCCATTGGGTTTTTTCCTTGATGCACAGCTGCTTCTTTTAATCTTGGATTTGGCGGTGCCAGCTTGATGATGCGCGGCTCCTGAGCTGCTTGCTGATGTCAGTTGTATCAAGTTGAGAGAGAAGCAAAACAGGAGTAAGGCCATAGATATTCTAATTCTGTGCGCGTTGTAAACCATGACCAAGACTGTTTTTATTCGAAATGCAACAGTAGAACGGGAAGGGAAGTTGTCAGTCTAGTGAGATAGAAGAATTTCACAATGCAATCAGAATGTCCAGCAAACTGAGCTTGAGGTGCGACAATCCAAGCTATTGATGAAAATGGCCTCGGGGGAAGACCCTTAACTTGAAGGGACGGACATGATACTTCAGGGATCTCTGAGGTGCCCCTAGCAAAAAGGGTTCGAGTAGTTTGGTTCAACAAACCGCCCAAGTATTCGAGGTAATGACATCATAACAGCAGATGAGGAAGATGTGTTGGGCTTGAAGGAAACGTCTGATCCAGTCCACTGAGCAACACCATCAGACTTTTGATGATAACGGGGTGCACATCTGATTCATGGAGGGAAATATTCGGAACCACCCTCCTTTTCTGGTGAAAGCGGCGACTGTCGACCTCGGATGTCAACGCTGCCCGGGGCTATGGCTATGGGCTTCGGTCGTTACGTGCAGTCAGACCGGCCGATTGGAACGGTTAGGATTTGGTCCGGAACTTCAAGTGCTCCTGAATGATTCCAAACCACTCCCTCGCACCCCGTCCGTCACAAATGTTCAATGCTTGCCTCGGCTGTCAGCGCTACCTGAGGCTCTGACTTTTGGGCTCGGTCGTTATGTGCAATGTGATTTAACTGGGCGGCTGGATAAGTGTCAAATTGAATACTGGTGATTCTGCTGTTCTTCATATGTGGTCCATTCCACTTCATAAGCCACCAACACTTCAGCATAAGACATCACCTTTCTCTCAATCCACCCATTTTGATTACCCATGATAAAACATCGACCCCCATCGTTTTCCTCTTCGTGGACGCCGTTGGTCCATCGATTGACCTAAGACACGGCTGGACCATGCACGTCCGAACTCTTCTTGCCTCTCCGCTAACTTGTAAGTATTCAAAAAAAAACTGGAGTATTCGAGAGAAATTGAATGAAACATCATCGGCAAATCATGAATCGATGGGTTTAACGAATGCACTGGAACAAGGGAAATGCAGTACATTGTGGTGATTACGGTGAAGCCTAAGGTCATGTCGATCTCAAAGTGATAAATGACATCAGAAACGTCATAACTCAATGGGCATTGGGAACGAATATCTGACGTTTGGGAAATAGTGATGATAGAGAAGCTGCTTTTTCTCTTCCGTTTTAAAAGATATTCGACCGCCTGTTTTTACCGTTTCTCGTTCTTTCTTCCCCATTCTATCATCTTAATGTTTCTTTCATTTTTCTAACTATTTCGAGCTCTCATCATCGCGCTTGCCAAAGTGAATTTTTGTTGCTCTTATATCTCGGTTGCTCCAACTCGTTCTCTCCTGCTCTCAATTTCTTATAGACGAGAATGTAAAGAACTTCCACAAATAGTTCAACTTTCTTGCGATCTCCTTCATGACAGACTTGAGCAGAAAAAGGTACATCATAAAATTTTACAGATTTAAAAAGAATTGCGACAGAAATAGAAACTCCCTTCCCATGGCAAGAAGCTCAAGAACAATTCAGATGGAGCGTCGGTTTACGGATCTTGAGAGAGAGAGAAATATCGAGCACACAAGGACTAGGAAGTTCTATGATGATCACAAATAGTCACTCATTATTCTGGCGTCCCAGGAGGAGAAATAGGATCTGTACTCGTGGGGGTTGTACCAGTTTCAGACGCTAGGAGGATACATTTCCAGGTTGAGAATACTTTGAGCTACGTCCAGACCCTCCGTCCCGTTTTCAAGTACTCGATTCAGGGCCCGAGGCTGCTCACATCGTTTGGAACCGCAAGGAGGAACTCGTGTACATATCTCGAGAAAAGGTGGAGATAAACAACTATGTAGGACGAGATGGCAAGGGGTAGCGATCAAC